CAGCAACATACCGCACCAGCAGCAATATCAAACAGCATCAGACAACATCACGATGCAGCATTCAGCAATACGCAGCTAGCAGCAACAGCAATTAGCTAGAAAGTCCACCAGGCAGCTCAAGCAGCAACAGCAACATCCACAGCTGCATCGAACAACATCTGAGAGCATCAAGCAGCAACAACAGTCAATAGACAACATCAAACAACGGCCAACAGCAACATCAGGCAGCAGGCTATATGGAGCAACATCAATAGTCGGCAACAACACCCACCGCATCAAGTAGCAACAGCAACAGCCAACAGCAACAGCAGCCAGCAGCAGCAATAGCATCAGGCAACAGTCAGTCAGACAGTCATTCATTTGTTCATATCCACATTGCGTTTGCCAAATGCCATTGCATGCCAGCCATATTTGGGCAGGCGAGCGTAACCCAAATACGTGCAAGAGAAGAGAAGAAAACTAAGGCCATGAGCGTCTGGAAAGATGGAAAGAGGTAAATAAATCACAGCTAGCGGCAGCAAGAAAAAAGTTCTCACACTCCATTTGACCGTTGGCTACTTGATTTTCACATATATATATAAATATGTATATGTATATATACGTGTGTGATCTGTGATCTGTGATTGCTGCAAAACACAGTTTTCTTTTTGCTTTTTGTTTTTTCTATTTATTCTACCAACTAGACTGGGAGTAGCGCACATGCACAAATATAGCGAGTGGCAAACGGGTTAAGTGCAACTGTTGTTATTGTCCGTGCGCTGATTAGTGAGACGTGCGCATTATCCTCCGCGGACTTAGCTGCCTTTTCGCCTAGTTTGCATTGGGCTCCAAAGTTTCGCTCTTTATGGGCACCAAGGAGGGCGGTATATTGAGCGTCTTGCCCGGACAGGCAGCCTCGTATTGGTGCTTCAAGCTCTCCATTTCATAGATGCAGGTGGAGAGCGCAGTGCGCAGTTCGCAGAGCAAAACCATATCCGAACGCAGCTCATTGAAGGAAGTGCATATTTCCTCAGTGGGTGGTGGTGCGGGATCTATAAGATGGAGTTATTCAGTTAATCCAAACGCCATTTAGTTTGTTTCGCCAATAGTTTCGTAGCTTACCAACTTTGAACTCCTGTATGGCCTGCTCGAGCGCTTTCACCTTACGCTGTCCTATATTGGCGGGCAGTTTCATCTTTTGCGAACGCAGCGATACACCAGAGCCGCGTAGATCGGCAAATTTGATGCCGCTGCTGCCAATTTCGATGGCGTTCACCACCGAATCCACTTTGGAGGGTCGTGGCTGATGGTGCACCTTCTTCTTGTGCAGTTTCTTTTCGTATTTGCGTGTGCTTGGCGTGTTGGTCGTATGCTCGTTTTGCTGATCTGCTTGGGAAATCAGTTTTTGCAGATCTTGAGTTTTACGTTCGCGTTCCTTTTTGCGCGCCTCGATTTTCTTCATCTCATTGATCAGCATTTGCTCCTCTTCTACCTGTTGTGTGGTGCGCTTGAAGAGCTTCTCTAGTTGTTCCTTTCGACGACGCTCGTGCTCAATATCGTATACGAATGTTTTCTTCTCAACGGACTGATTCTTGGCCTTGGCCAACAGTGAAATTACTTCATAGTACCGCTCCTTGAGCTCCTCTACGGTTTTAATACCATGCTGCTGGCGATTCCAGCGATCCGCCATAACAATGAAGCGCAAATCGAAGCTGAAAAGAGATGAGCATGAGTATATGCCTATTGAGGTATTTTGTCTACTCACCGTCTAGCTAGATCAAACAAATGATCCGTTTGCACCTTGCTCCAGTTTTGGATATTATTTCGCAGGTGCGCGTTATATTCGGTCATGGTGTATGTGGGTATATCCAATTGCTTATTGAATTTAGCAAACGGATAGTCTGTGGAGTCATCGCTGACACGTTTCCAATGATGAAAGACAGCAGCATCGTTACGAGCGGGATTCGAGAAAGGTGCCCATTCCCATTTGCGCACTTTTTTCATGCCCAGCCGGGCTTTGTTTTGTTTATAGCCCGCACCGATGCCCAGTGCAGTGTCTGTCGGTAGCAAAGGAGGCGCATCTTTCTTGTCTGTGTACAGAAGCGCGAAGACTTCGCGGTGCATTCCTTCCGGACGCCGGGAAGCATGTTTTGTACTGCAAAAAAAAAAAAAAAAAAAAAAGTTAGAGAAGCGGTTCAAACAGCATTGTATGCTTCTACTTACCGCTCAAAATTACGTTTTTTCGTGGCAAGGAATGAGTCTCGGGTTATTTCGGGCGTATTAGCACGCTCAATGTCTAAAATATCACGTACATCAGCTGACATTTTTGCCTTAATCTAATAATTTCATTCAATATTTATAAAATAGGCTTATTTTGTGTTCGCTGCTGGTCGGTGTTGATTAACGTTTGCAGAAAATCATATCGATAGCAAAGTCTATCGAGCTCTGTTAAGTTAGCAGTTGTGGGTCAGCCCCGATAAAATTTCCACAACATACCAAACCGATGAGATGTTAATTATGTCATCGAGCACTCTAAAATACTGAACACACACACAATTCTTCTCTCAAACAATCTCACAGCTCACAATCTTTGTTTGTATTGAATTTACAATGAAACCAACTATACATGAAATTTGCCTAAGATGGCTGCTTCTGTCAGTGCTGAATAATCGATAACAATTTAAATCGAGCAGGCAAAGTCTGTTAACTTAGCAGTTGATCAAACGTGCTCGCATTTCGCAATGTTGTTCTTCTGCCCGTCTTGTGGCAATATATTAATTATTGAAGAAGATACGTCCAGCCATAGGTTCACGTGCAACACGTGCCCTTTCATATCGAAAATCAAGCGGAAGATAACCACCAAAACGTACCCACGTCTGAAGGTAGGTTTGCAAAAGCACAATTTTCCAACTTTGTTTACATTTCATTTCTTTTAGGAAGTTGATCACGTTTTGGGTGGCGTTGCGGCTTGGGAGAACGTTGATTCAACGGATGCTGAATGCCCGTCCTGCTCACACAAACGCGCCTACTTCATGCAAATACAAACCAGGTCAGCGGATGAACCTATGACGACATTCTACAAGTGCTGTAATCATCAATGCGGCCACAATTGGAGAGATTAGAACTGATGCGCTACTTACAAAATCTACTAATAAGGCGACTCCAAGGGACTCGCAGCAGCAACAGCATGCATAAGCAACAAGTAGAGGCGACTCCAATTTGTTCGGCGGAGTCGCTAAATGCCTTAAAGCTGGCGGAACAATGCCTGCAGCTGGGCAAGGTGATTGCGTTGCCCACAGACACAGTTTATGGCTTAGCATGCGATGCCAACAATGAGCAGGCCATTCAGCGTCTGTACGAAATCAAAGGAAGAGACGAACACAAACCGGTGGCCATTTGTGTGAACAATATTACAGCGCTGCGTCGCTATGGTCAGGCGAGCCACTTGAGTGACGAGCTGCTAACTCGGCTGCTTCCGGGGCCACTGACCATCATCGTTGAGCATACGCCGCATCTGAGCAATCGCTACTTAAACCCGAGCACCAGCAAAATCGGTATACGCATACCCGACTTCCAGTTCATTCGGGATCTGTGTGCTAGGTGGCACGAGCAACCCTTGGCGTTAACCAGCGCAAATCGTTCCAGTGAACCCAGTAGCCTGGAAATCATCGAATTCCAGGCGCTTTGGCCGCAGCTGGGCGCCATCTTTGATGCCGGTCGCATCGGACAGACAGAGGAGCGACGGCTGGCCTCTACAGTCATTGACTTGGCCAATCCGGGCTGTTATGAAATCGTACGCGCTGGAGTGGCCCTCAAACAGACACTTTCAGTGCTGCACGAATTCGGCTATGTCAACCAAAATCTAATTACATAATTATATAAATTACAACTGCTGTTTTAAATTACAACTGTTACAAGAGCTCAAAATCCGCTAAGCAATTTCCAACCATTTTCATTTCTAATTAGAATTTGCGTCGACCGCGAACTATGTCATGTTAAATGTAATGGTATCTAGTTTATTAAGATTTATAGTCCTACAGCATTAAAAATTTTGAAACATTATTTTTGCGTAAAGGAACGATACCAATTGAACACAAAACCGATAATAAAATATATATATGTACAAACAGTATGTGTATGTGGCTACTTAGCGGCTACCAACAGCTTTGTCTCTTTCTTCAGTCTTGTGCCTAGTTGTAGTAATTGGCCTTAGCCACCTGCACCGGTCGCCTTCGTCGCGGAAGCTCATTCTTCAATATCCTCCAACGTTCTGGGGGCCAAACGATGGCCACCGCTCGGGCGGACATCAGACCCAATGCAACTGGACCGAAGGTGTTGCTGTCCAGAGAGTAGCCCGTGTGATCACCCTCGACCCAACAGTGGCCATCTGGTACGCGCACAATCTCGTGCTTGTAGCCAAGAGTGGAGACGACATCGCCTTGCATTCCCACCACGCGTTTGATAATCTTTTGACTGGGGTCCTTGGGGGAGATTAGTGAGATTATATCGCCGCGTTCCACAGCACTGTTGTGGATGCCCCAGCGCAAAAGAAATACGTAGTCGCGTTCCTCTGCCACGGGATTAAGTGCGGGTTGCATAGAAGTGCCTTGAAATTAAAAAAGCTTAATGAACCATTCATTGTTTTTGAAATATTCACTGTTGAATTTACCGTCAACTCTAGCCACATATCCGACGCAATCGAGGAACGTGATGCCTAGTGGCAAGCCATATAGCAGGGATTTACCAAAGCGACGGAATGCCATGACGGCATGGTTTGGTGTCTAGTTCTGTGTAGCCTTTATTAGGTTTTGCTTTTTTATATGTTTGGTGAAAAAAAGTTTGCACCGCTAGCACATATAAATATGTATGTACATACATATAAAATGAGTTTAGGTTGCGTCTTTAAAATGAATACATAACAATAATATACATACGTATACAGCTGTTCCCTTAAATTTTTTGACATTCACGTATTTACGTTGACATTCACTGTGACATTTCAAACAGAGTGTCTGAACAAATCGTTCGTATACAAATGTTTATTAAAAATTAAATTCAGTTTAAGTGCGTTACAAATCAAATTCCAGCTATTGTACTATGGTTACAGGTGTTTTGATTTTGATTCTTATATTTTAAAACTGAAACAGGAATGCGAATAATTTTAATGTAATTCCATTGCCAGCACTCAGCAGCCCTCCAGTTCGCTTGGGATAGGTATTTCGTTTTGAATAGCAAATTGTAGGAGCGCTTTGTATTTGTTCTTCCAGTTATTAACATCTAGGCGTATCTGTTCATTGTCTTCATGCATCTGCTCCAATTCTGTCCATTCATACGATTTTTTTGTTTCCAATTCGTCCTTTTGCTCTATGCGCTTAATACGACAGCTGGCCGCATAGCCACGATTCTTCAGCGTGCGACGTCGTTGCTTCATGCGCACAATCTCTTCCCGGTTGAGTCCACGCATTTTCAAAGTTCGGTTCAGATCACGCACCGAAATCGTCACCAACTCATCATCCGTTATGTCTGGAATCGGACATGGCGAAAGTGGAGCCTGTCGTAAACAATGGAAGTTGGTCAGAGCAAAAAAACAAGTCTACCAAGACTAAATGATTTATGCACATACCAAAGACGACTTTCTCTCACGTTTGGAATCCATAGTTAAAGTTTTTTATCCCCTGTAGTAAATAATTTTTAATATTTTCACAATTTGTATATGTTTTTGCGTATTACCATTCGCAATAAAAGATGTGATTAAAAACAGTATGCCCAGCTGCAGCAAACCATTAAATAATGCATGAACTAAAAATACCAAACTAAAAATACCAAAGGATGATTCCTTTTGAAAATATATTTGATAACAAGTGCTGGAAAGTTTGGGAGGGCAAAACGGAAGGAGGAAGAACTGAACATCAGTTGCTGATTTGCAATCCGCTGTAAAAATTCTCCATTTTCTTTTCTCAACTGTCAATTAATGAAATCAGTATGAAACGGGCAGTAATTATCAATAATGTGCCAACGCCAATCTGCGTACAAACGCCGCTTGCAGTCGCGACGCCCGATGGCGGGCTGCTCTACAGCGGCTTTAAATGCATCAATTATATACCGGCTGTGGATGCGAAGGATCGAGAAGTGAAAACCATGTCCTCGCGCATCACCATCAGTGGACTCGATGTCAGCCCCCTGTGGGGCAAACAGCATAAATCAGAAATTGTATCAAATGCTCATGACAAGCAATTTGCCATTGTTGGTGAGGATTGGAGCGTTCTCGTCTGGGATTGTGATATGGGCGTGGCGATCAAAGGACATACGGCGCATCAACGTCCGAATGAGGCACGAGATGCGCGACTGCATCCACAATTGAATGTACTAATGAGTTATATATGCAATGGCAATATATTATCGATGGATGCAGGCAATTTGGTCGTCTACTGCGTCGCCTCCAACAGCTATTTCCGACGGCCCACCTTCCTATCGCAACGGAATCATAATTTAAGCGTGCTCAGCTGCTCGCCATACGATGAGCATATATTTGCTGTGGGCACCACAGGTGGATCAATTTTAATCTGTAATTTAAATGAAATGAACATTGTGCATAAATTGAATGGACATGGCCGGAATGCCAGCATTTGTTATCTGGCCTGGCGGGAAATGTCACAGCAGCCGGAACAACAGCGAGAGCAGGACCAGGAAGAGCCGCAAGCAGACTCTGATCAGTTGCGTATTGCGAAGTCAAAAGTAGCCGAGGCAGATGATATATTTGATATATACAACTACGATCATTTGGAATCGGAGTTTGGTGCTCCGGCCAGCGTGCGTCCTCGTTTGACCAGCAAATCCTCAGATGATTGTGGTGATTTTGTTGGGCTCGAGAAGCCAGCCAATAATGCGAGTCTCGATTTCATGGAGGCCTGCGAGTCATTGAAAGTGGAAATGGCAGCTCATCGCCAGGGTCCCAAAGATCAGCCTCAAGTGGAGGTTACGCTGCAGGACTGCCAGCAAACAGGCACAACTGGCCCACGCAGCGATAGCAGCCACAATTCCGAAAGGGATCAGCAGGAGTTGCAGAGCGCCAGCGAAGGCAGCCTGGAGGTTATACAGTTTAGCTCGTCCAGCGATGATGCTGTCATTGTCGATGGCGAAGCCTCCAAGCCCAAGCGTGAGGTGCTGCATCATATTTACCACCAAGCCGAGGTGCACGATGCCCCAACCGAATCTCCGCAGCTACAGCAGCAGCAGCTGCAAACCAACGTCCAACCCCTGGACAAGCAAACTAGCGTAGACACGCTGAGCTATTGCTCCACAGAAATTCTGCCTCCCCGTCCAGACATTCTCCTGGCTTCCATCAATGACATCGATACTATTATGATATGGAATACGCGAACGGGTGAACATTGCGCCAAGAACTATAGCAAGTCAAATGCCACAGGTAAGTGAGAAGCTGGATAGCTACATTTCAGTTATAGATTACATGATCTCCTTGCAGCCAAATCCAAGCAGCTTTACTGGCTCAACGACCACACAATCGTCTCCCTGAGTCGTAACAATTTGTGCTTCTGGGCCGTAAGCTATGAGGCCAAATCACGTCGCTACAAAATCACGAGAGATCAACTGCACAAGTGCTCCGAGCAGGACATCATATGCTGCGTGGCCAGCGCCGCATATCCGCAGATCTGGTTAAATATGCGCAACCGACGTGTACTCCTATTGAACCCTCTAACTGGGCAGGTGAACGCCGTCTATGGCTGCTTGGCCTACGGCGTGCGCGCGATGTCCGAATGCCCCAATGATATGAACAAGTAAGTTCGTTTCGGATTATTATCGTACGGAAGTAAACTCATCTCATATCTCTGCTAAATTTCTAGAATTGTTTTGGGCTGTTCGGACAAACGCGTTGCAATGTTCGACATATCCAAGTTGACCGACCGCTGCATACCCATTGAGAGCGTGCATGTGAACAGCGCCGTCTACTCCCTGTCCTGGAGCCCAGACTGCCTGCAGCTGGCCTATGGCACCGCCGATGGCATTGTACGTGGAACTGAACGAACTCTTTATTTACACACATACATTGATTGAACTACATTTAACATAAATTTCATGCAGGTGGGCATACTTGATGTGGAGCGGATGCGAGTGAAGAACACGTTTCGTCCGGTGCAGAAGAAGGAGATCTACTCACTGGTGTGGAAGGAGGACTACATTTACTTTATAGTAAATCGCATGGTGGGCATGTACTCTGCGCGACAACCAAATCAAGGTGAATCCTCAACGCAAGTGATGGCGCACATTGTACGTTTGGTTCTGTGCATTGCGCTTGCCATACGTGATCGTCGACTGGGTATCGCGCGTCTGTCGTTTGCGTATCTCGGCCAGATGTATTGTCTCTCGATGGTAGTCCCAGGCATTCCATGTCACATTTATCCAATTGGCCGGCTTTAAGTCGTTCGTAACTACCATTTCGGTTTGCCCTATGAAATCCTTCGTCTTTGGCGGCTCCGCGGGCACTGGCTGGAGCTCTTTGGCGATCAGTATATGATCCAATTGGAAGAGCAGAACCAAGTTGGCATTGTTAAAGATTGATTGTCGTAAAGCGGTTATGAAGCGCTCGAACCATAGCTCCCCTATGCGGGCATAGGTCTCGTCCTGAAAGCCAAACTTAATGTCCACGTTCATGCAGAGCTTGCGCACCACCTTGGCTGGCAGGAGCAGTCCGTTTGTCACGGCCATCGCGAGGGCGCAGAACTCCTGAATGTCCGCCTGAGCGAGGCTGCAGAAGTTGCCATCAGTTTGAAATTTCTTCAACGTGTCCATGCGCTGATTGAAGCTGCATTTACGCATTTCGCTGTGACGTTTGGCCAGCTCCTGGATTTCCGCAATCGTTTCCTTCGAGCGCTGCACCATCCCACTAGTGATCTGGGCTTCGACACGCTCACGCAGCTTGTTCAACTCGACAATGTGATTGAAGTAGTGATTGAGATTCGCCCAGACCTTGGCCAGGTAGACAAAGTGCGGCTGCAAAGCAACAACAGATATTTCAAGGATCTACCTGGGCAACTCCAGCTGATACTTACAAATATCAACTCGGACTCAATGGAGGTGCGCATGGCCAGTGTTGCGTTGATCTTGGCCACCACACAGTCGTAGCGACCCGTCTCCACGCTCAGCAGATACGTCGTGTGCTCATAGCTGCTCTGGAGCGCAACCAAGCAGCGCATCAGCATATTGAACGTGATGGTGAATTGATTGATGCGATCCAGCTGGGCCAGGGCCACGCCATAGTAGAGCGTCGTCTCCTTGCAGTCGAACTGCAACTGCTCGCTAATCGCTGTCTGGCACCTGGAGCTGAGCTCCTTGAGGCGTTCCAGCGCGGCATCAAAGGCGGCATTTGTATTCGCTTGGGCCATCTGCAGGTCTCCAATTACTACAGAGATGAGGGAATAGATCAAATGTGTGGTAGAATCTACATAAATGAGGTCTATCTGCACCCACTATTTCGAACGTTTTCGCGATCGCCGTCGGGTCCGTCGTTGTTGTAGATGACAATGCCAGCGACAGTGTCGGCCAGCCGCTTCAGATACTCCTGCCTGTGATACTTCTTCTTGAGGACATAGTTCTGTAGGTCGCTGCGGCCGATGACGCTGTGCAGCGCCTTGGCTGTCAGCTTGAGGAGCACATGGTTCTTGGGACAGCCCAGATGGTTGGTAGCCACAATGAAAACTTGCATTTTGGAGAACAATTGATCCAGCTGCACTTTGCTGCAAGTCTCTGGATACTGCAGGATGTCGTCAATGAGTCGCTTCAGCTGTTGCTGATAGTCCTTCTCGTATTGCTCGCGCACGTAGGACAATTTGATGCCGTGGCCCTTCTTCATGATCCAGGACAAGCGCAGGTTGGCCATGGTCGTGTCGGTGTCATCCAGAAAACCGCTGATAACATTGTTGACGAACGCCCTGATGTGGCATGTGCTTGGCTTACTTAAGTCTGTCCTCAACAGACCGAGGCGCACGTCTCGAATGAGCAGATGCACCACAAAGGCTATGAATTCCCTGTCCACCTCGATGTCGCGCTCCTCTAGCTGCGACTCGATGCTCCGGCAAATGTCGTCGAGTGCTTTTTGATGAGTATGCGACATGTTGCCCTCGTCTCTTAGTTAATCTAATGCAACTAGTAATTTATGAGCTTTTTGTGTGCACACTGAGCGTAATGTGAAATGTAATTTGACTTCTCGGCCTTGTTGATTGTTTTTGTTATTTGAGCAAGCAAACAAGTTGTCCCTGGCAACAGCTTTGAGCGATTATCAAATCAAAGTTACTCTAATCTACTTCGATACTTCGACCCTTCTCTCGCTCTCTCTCTCTCTCTCATTCACTCAAACATAACCCTAACGAGTTCTCTAATGTCGCGATAGGTTCGCTCCACCTCTCTCTCTGAATGAAGTCTAATCAAATTCTCTCCCTTCACAAAGCCCTTGCTGAATATACTTCTAATCTTCGTCTTCTTCGCTCTCTTTCAGAGGCCTTACTGATGAAGCATATCGAGCGTCCCAGTTTTCTGAATGTGCGTGGACCCTTGCTCTTGATTGGCACAGAGAATGGTCTGCTTCAGTTACATAGTAGAACTTCGTTTGAACAACTGCCTTGTACAGCGCTTTTTGCCCGCTATGTCACTGATATAGCCTTCAGTCCGGTGGCGACGAATGTGTTTGCAGTGGCGGGTAACGATTGTATGATCTATGTGCTGGAGTTGCACTTAGCCACGCGCACCTGGACCAAGCTGCACAAGTTCACGGACAACGATTCGTGCGCGTCCATTGCATCGGTCAAGTGGAGCAATCAGCATGCACATTTGCTGCTCAGCTTCCATATTGAGGGCAAGGTGTGCATGTGGAGCACCAGGGAGCCGAAGCAGCCACCGCTAATCATCAAATATGAGTGCCCCATGTGGAGTGGTCTGTTCCTGCCCTCCGATGAGCTCATCATTATGTGCGGCGGCAAGACACTCTCACTCGAACTGGTTAGCATCAAAGAGGCTTTGGCCAGCAACGAAAAGCAGATACGCTCCAAGCTGGATCCCATAGGCAAGCTGCACTGGGCTTACAAATCCAACGCACAGCCCAATCAACCCACATTGACCGCTGCACAAAGGAAGCGTCAGTCCCGCGAGAAGCGCAAGGCCAATCAAGCAGCTGCTGCCAGTGGGCAGGCAGTCAAGCCGGAGCTGGACGCTCAGCAATCAGTTGAGCAAAAGGAACAAGAGCAGCAGCAACCGTCGCAGCCACCGATTGAGTCCATGATGGGCGCTCTGAGTCTGCAAACCAAGGGCACCAATACAAATGCGCTCGAGTGCAAGAAGTGCAAACAGCTGGAGGCACAAAGTGCGCCGAACACTTTTCTCTCTGTAAGTAGCTGGATCATCGATCTCTAATCCCTCACTCATGCTGCGACTTATCCCGTACAGCATAGCCGCACCTGCCTCTGCCTCGCCCAAAAGGAGCTCAACAAGAGCGCTCTGGAGAAACTGGCCATAGTGCTCACCGAGGATGCTGCCAAGATAGACAAGTCGGTGCTCATGTCGAAGCTGTTTAGCACCAAAGTCATGGCCAAGGAGCTAGTTGCTACAGAGCGTTAGTATAATATACTGTTGTTTCTATTTTTATAGCTCATCCTAATCCTCATCCTGATTTCAGTTAGCAATTTGAAGCAGTCAAACAACAAGGACATTGCTCCAGTTAATCTGGCAGTTACGACATTCAAATTGCGCGAGGAACTGGAGCAGCATATTGCCAATAAGACGTTGAACGAGTGGCATATATCTCTAGCGCCCGCTGTCTCCTATGTGTAAGTCGCGCACGTCCTCTTGCTGCCCGCACACCATTGTCATTTCTCATTGCTTTCATTTCCATTTCCATTTCCATTCCAGTTTCTGGCAAATTTGCTGCAAGGCCTACGCCCAGCAAATGGAGGAGCAGGGCTACATACTGCATGCAGCAACGTATATGCTCGCTGTCGACATGCAAACGGAGGCCATTGAAATGCTGCTGAAGCATGAGTATTTCAAGGAGGCATTGATCAATGCGCGCATCCATTTGGCCGCCACGGATCCCATCATTAAGACTATTATCAACAAGTGGCTGGATCAGCTGGAGAAGACGGGCAACTATGCCGCAGCGGCACTTATGTAAGTGTCTAGATCCCTAGCTCAGTTCAGTTTTAATCCTTTGCTGTTTCCGCCTTGCAGCTGCGTCTTGGACAATGAGATGCTGCGTGGCTATTTGTTTTTGCGCAAGTTCCGCAACCGCACCGCCGAAATAGCCGATCTAATGGAGCAAATCAAGCGCATAGGTCAGCTGGGGCCCATGTTCGATGAGGGCAAATCAGAGCCAGAGGAGGGCGTCGAGGAGGCAGCCTGAGCGTAAGCTCACTCCGCCTCATATAAACACACATACATACCATTAACTGTTATTTGAAGTAAGGACAGCTAGTTGGCTCATTTTTCTTCAAGCTTTTGTTAAACGAACTACTAATTGATCAATGTTCAATCAATTATGTTTTCCAAACCAAACCCCAAGCATGAATTTATACGAATCACAATTCAAAATGTCCAAGGCAAACAAAACACACACACATACAAAAAAAAACAAAAAAAAAACGCAGTTATAAAAAGAAATAATGGAAAAGAAATGCGCTTCTTTTATTTCTTAATTAGAACAACTTCAGGGCCCTTGGATCAGAAACTCTCCTATGGACAGCCTCGGCCCATTTGTCTGCCATCCCGTTAGCCAGCCCAAAAGACAAGAAACAAGAAGCAAGCAACAGAAAGAAAGAAAATCTTAACGAGTATTGTTTTGGTTTGTCTCGACAATCAAATTATGCAAATGCAGCGCCAGCTAGAAATTAAGTTTTTTCTTAATTGTTTGAACGAAGGTGCGCGACGTCGACAGCGACGCAGGCAGCGCTGCAAGCAGCGACAAAGTGCGTGTGAACAGAGGGAAGAGACAATAAACAATAGCTGGGGCGTGATCGACCAGAGCATACCCTAGCTAAACACAAACTTGCTGAGAGCTGAGCTCAAATACTTGCTCATTATATGCAGGACAGGGTATATAGGGTATATATATAGGGTATACAGCGTATATAAATACACTGTTATGCATATAATTAGCACCGAGACGTTACGTAAGTATATCCTTCAATGGGGTTTGTACACTGATAGTATACCTGCCATATAAAAATCGATTCAATATACCCCACTTGGTACACACTGGCAATGGGTAACGAAGATGATTTCAATAAGCGAACAGCTGACGCTGACGTTGACGTCGACGGCGCTGTCAGCGACGCTGGCAGAGCCGCAACCAAACGGGCAAAGAGTCAACTCGCAATTCAGTTGTGGGGCAGCCGCTGAGCTCAGCTGACGCGTCGATTGCTTATTATATGAGAACTGGTCGATGAGGAAGAGGAAGACAACGCGTTCGTTGCCTAAGTCATTTCGATTTTCACTTTTAACTGTTTCGAAGAGCGCGCGCGCGCGCGTTGTGCTTAAACCGTTACCGTTAGACGCAGCACGTTACGGTTATCTGGCAGCGAGTGTGTAAGTGTGTGTGTGTGTGTGTGTGTGCGTGTAACTATTTGCATGACCACGCATGAGGCGCACTCCGTTCTCACGTCTATTTGGAGACTTCTTGTCCGTTCGTTGTCCAATTAAAACGCAATTAAATTGTGATTTTTTGTTTCGCTTTTGCTCAAGTGCATTTCGCTTTTGCTTCGAGTGTCGCGCTTAATAGAAACAAATTAAAAAGCGAATTACAAGAAATGAATTTAATGAACAAACACGTTTTTTACATACGATTTCAGTCTTAATTGGGCTGCGCTGCTTGCAAAAGTGTCAGAACAAGTGCGCGGGCTTTTCTTACTTAAGCACTTTTCCGCTGCTCTCGGCTCGCTGCTCGTTGTTCGCTGTCTTTTTCCTGGCACACATATGTCACACACTCTTACATACTGAAGTCACCTTTTTGCTGCATTTGTTGCTGTTGTTGTTTCTCCATTTGCATGCGACAGTCAGAAACAGACAGCGACAGCGACAGCAGCAGCGATGACGACGACGACGACGACGACGACGACGACGACGGCGACGGCGACGACGACTTCTCCCTCAGCATGACTCAACGTTCAGCAATTTTTGTTGTTTATGTGTCGCTTAACATTGTCGTCGTTGTTGTTATTATGATATCCATTGCAAATACGTAAACAGGGTATATTGTTTATGAAGAGAGATACAATAGAACTCTGTATGAACAAATCGAGCAGTGGTTTTATTTTAGGTATTTATGAAGTTTATTTTATTTGGGTTTTTTTTTTTCTTTTAGCTAGAATTCTCAGACTTCTTTGCCAGCCTTTAGAGATAACAATATTAAAAGGGCATTAAATATATGTTGATCTATACTTGATACTTTATCAAATTGTTTAATATAAGCTCAAAAGACACTCAGTCCTTAAATATGAAGTAGAAAAGTTCCTTTGATACCTTTCTCAAACAAAGTCTCTAAGAACACTGAAATCTTTGTTAAGGATAACTCGAAAGCTTTAAGAGGTAGAGACGGCCTATATGGTATACTGGATATACATGGGTATACAAGGCCTCTTAAGGTCTGTCCATATCTAGAACAATAAATTCTCAGCTTCCATCGCAAAACGGAAAACACAGAATGTTCCAGGGCATCTGCTAGTCGCACCCTCCATCCACTTGTTGATGCGTACTTTTTTGCGTAGTTTCTGGGAGTGTATCTTAGGCCCGGCCCGGGCCGTGTCGCATGTGAAATCATTTCTTGCTTGAACGATAATTTCTACAATTCGTCTTTCTTCTGCGTTTTCTTTGCCCACACACAACAGAGAGCGAGCGAGAGACTCGCATTCGTACCATCATAATATATCATACGCTTTTTGTGGCTGTTGCAACTAACGACGGATTAAACTGCAATCGAGTGAAAGGTAAGCCCATCAAAACGAAATCAAATCGAACACACAAACACAAACAACATTAACAACAACAACAACAACATGGATGTGTATGCCTATACAAATGTATATATTTATACAGAAATACGCATATATTTTTATTACATTTTGAAACGCATTAACGCACTAGCTGGAATTCCTATCTGCTGCTTTTGTTGCTTTCCTTTCAACATAATTCAGGATTTGCATAATAGTTTAAACACGCCGCATTGCATTGTTGTCTATTCAAGCATATGCACCACACTCATGCCTCACTCATTTCATATTGTGATTATTTATGGTTTATTATTGTTTGTAGTTGTCGTTGTTGTTGTTGTGGATGCTATTGAACTCACCTCTGCAGTCGCAGCACGCAACAGCTGCACCACTGCAACGATTTACACTCGCGCCTGAGCTTATAACAATCATAACATCATGAACAACTTAGATATTTAATTCCATGCGAAAGAGTCCAGCAATAGCCGCCGAAAGAGATGGCATATGTCTAACATATAACACAATGCGAATTGTTGTTTCGACATGCGCCTTTTTCACAGCAAATTATGCGGAATCTACATAAATTTTGTAATACCAAAAAACCACGCTGTGCAGTGTTACAGATGCCAACACACACACACACACACACACACACACACACGCGCACAGAGAGACAGGGTTATAAAGGTGGGCGTTTGGGGCGTGTCAGTCAAGGGCGCGCTGTCTTTCAATTCATATTATGGCTCAAGAGGTCGTTACATTCCGCATGCAATGTTCGATGGGCGAATGTTAATTTTCAACTATTGCAGCTGACAGCAGCAACAGTAACAACAGCAACAGCAGCAACGACAGCAACAGCAACAGCAGCAACAGCAACACAATAATAACAACAAATATGCTTTCTAATCTGTCAATATTTACGACATATGCATGAACAATCAAAACAATCAATTAAAGCTACTTACAAAGTTTTTTTTATTTATATAGAGTATATGCATGCACAGAAGGTATAGAAAGTATAGAAAATACGGAAAGTCTAGAAAAGTATTGAACATTTTCAGCTCTTTTCCAAAACTATTCATTGCAATGAATGTCTATTTGATCTCTTTCAAAGTAATATAACACTAGATATTACATATTTGCACTCTCTAGCGTCTATTTCAATCATTTTGCTTAGCTCCCTCTTCAATGCTACTGTTTAAACAACCCTCGTATATATCTATATTATATCTGAATACAATTAGCTTTTTGTTACATCATTGCGCAGGCATTTGCACTTGCCTTTAAATTGAGTATAACAACTATTTAGGCCTAACAATGATTTTTATTGTTTTTCCCCTCTGAAAATTGGCAGAGGTCTTAGCAGTGTTTGACTAATTGAACTGTTCTAAAGAAAGACTCTATATATATGCATGCATACTAACATTCAAAGTATATATACATTATACATATAATGATGCAGACCTGTAATACTTATTACTAAATTTAACACTATGTACACACAGGTGTGATTATAATACTATATAAGTAATATATATATATTGCGGCTCTACTTAAAAGACACACTAGTTTTTAAATGAGGCTGGCACACGCCAAAACAAGAGTTTGTTGATTCATGCAAATCAACTATTAGATAAGTGCTAAATAGACAAGAAGTTAAGCAGGTCTGTCTTGTCTCTAAAGCATATCAAGAAAATATTTCATGGAACTGCTCATTCGGATGCATAAGCAGTTCGTGCTGTATGCTTTTCGTGCCTCATATATATAAATCCCAGCCGAAAATTTAAAAAAGGGTAATAATCCATAAAAATAACTAATATTAAACCTAATCAAGTCTCAGGCCTAAGCGGAAGTAAGTCGCTTACAATAACTAATATATATAGAATATATATGAATGGTAAGGTACATAAGGCAGGCGAAGCTACAAAACATCTAAAGCTCGTCTATCCTATTCTAACATACATATATCTAGCTACTTTTTGGTAGCACCAACTCCTTAGCTAAAGCTAATATATAGCGTTTTCTTTTGTGTTTGAAAAATATTGGCATAATACACCAAATTTCCAGCACAAAACGCAACTCAAATTAAAAGTAAACTCTGTAGAAAACTAAACCACCTACCCCTGAATCTCATTCCAAAGTCAACACAAAATTTCGTTTCTCTGCATATAAATATTTATGAAAGATATAAAAAAAACAATATCTGCCTTATCTAACTCCAAATAACCACAGAAATGAATGCGGCGAATATGTTTAACACATTCATCTGCTGATAGATCAGAGCTTTATATAAACAACACTCCAGCTTATCACTCAAAAGTCAAACAGAGCGATTTGTTGCACAACTCTCGGCAGATTTAAGTAATTGAACGCTTAGAGCAATTGAGGTGCGGCTAGATTAGCGTAACGCAGCTTCCGTTCAGTGGGACCCGTGCGCTCGCCTATTTCACTTAACACATTTCGGAGGTAATACGCAAAGCGAGATAACAATTTTTCAGCTGGTCCGCTGGCTAGCTGGCTGACTGGCTGGCTGGCTGGCTGGCTGGCTGGCTGGCTAATGGCTAATAATAAACAAACCCGTTTTATTCAAACGGATTGCCCGAAAAAAGAAAACCGGACAAGCCGAAAAGAATTTGCTCGCAATGTTTGCATAGCCAACGAGAATTAAAGAAATTAGAAGAGGAAGAAGAAGAAGACAGCGCGACTTCTGCTGGCCAACTGAGCAACGTTCGCAGTTATGTTGGACAGAAGAAAGCGGCTGATGGTGCAGAATTCTCAATGGGCCACCTCGGGCCGCTGACCCAAGCACTTAAGGCGCGCGCATATCCGGCCCATTGGCATTGGGCCGACGTTTGTCACCCACGCAACTTGAAGACGATTATGATTATGATTATGTTTGGGTTGATGGCACACCTGTTGACGGCATTGAATGAGGCTCCAATTCTGATGACGACGCAGTTTTCGTTGACTATTAAAGGCAGATTACCAAATGACTGACTAAGCCGTTAACTGACGTTGGCGTTCGCTAACACGATTAATTGACTCTACCTGTGTCTGTGCGTGTGTGTCACAGGTGTGTGCGTGTTGGTTTTTTGTGCGCTCGTCTAGCTGTCTGAGCATTTAGCGCTGAGCTATAAGTCATGACATAAGTAGTCAATTATTTGAGCCCAAATTCGCGTGCTGCTAAACAAAAGACTTAGGCAGCGAACTTGTTAGAATTATAAAGACTTGGGTCACGAACTTGCAAGCAAATATTGTTTTGTGTTGCCAGGGCGAAGTTCGGTAAATATTTGCGAGCGATTTGAGCAACGAGCTACGAGGAAGCAAATATTTAGGACACGAACTTGTTGGAAGACTTAGGCAACAAACTTGAAAACAGATTTAGATTAGGATGAGATGAAAAGCGTGGCACACTTATTTGCCGGCTACAGTCTGTACTGATTTAGAAGACAAAAGGATTGGCTAGAAAAAAATACTTAGACAACGAACTTGTTGAAATTATAAAGACTTAAGCAACAAACTTGCACTCAAATGTTGTTCAATAATTGAAAGAAGTCCCCGTCTATTTCTGATATGCCACAGCAAGAGGACTTTACCTTGGAAGAACAAAATATAGTACTTCGGCATCAAACCTCTAGTATCAATGGACTTGGTCTATAACTTTTCAAGCAAACATCGCTTAGGCTAAACAGCGAACGCAAACAACTTGGCCAACAAACGACTAAGAACCAAAGACTGAGGCAACGAACGCGCAAACAAATATTGTTTTAAGAAAAAGTGAAAATCGTCGAGTCGAATCTGAATGTGAATCTCTATCAGCATGCCGTTAGCTGGCCGCGAAACAAGTTCGCTGCCTAAGTCTTTTGTTAGGCATGCACACACACACATACATACACATATACATACATACATACTCTCGCACACTCACTTACACATTAACACTCATCTGCATTTCCATTTCAGGGGCAACTTAACAGAAAAAAAAAAAAAATAGGAACTAGAAAAAACCAAAATACCATGACAAGCCTCAATTAGGCCGCTTAACGCTTTCGCATTCGCAGCGCCACGAAACTCATCATTGAAACATACAAGAAAGCATCCCAAGTAGAACTAGAACTAGCTTGTCATCGCCTCGCACCACTGACCCAACAACCAACAGCCAAACGCTAAGAGCTAAGAGCCACCATCGAACAGCCAAAGCCAAGGCCGACCGAAATCAAAGCTTATTTTCTTTTTTTTGGCCAACAACAACAAACGACGAAACAACACGATCATGAATTATCAGAAGGCCAGTGAAACGCATTCACCGTCCCCGTTCAAGAAGCCGAAACGGCCCGCTGGCACCAACAACAACAACGACAACAACAACAGCAACAAGAAGAACAGCCACAGCAACAGCAGCAACAGCATCAAAGGCAAAGGCAACGGGAACGGGAACGGCAATAGCATACAAAACTTTTGGAACGAACGCATCATGGAGCGCTTCATAAAGGCGAATCTATTCATTATCTGCTGTGTGGCGGCGGGCCTGTTGCTGGTAAGTAAACCAATTCATGATTTACACATATATACACTCGTTACGAAAACTCAGAGAATGAGCATATTAGCTTGGGCGAAACTCTAATGAAAGAACTTTTGTGATATCGGAAGTAGAGCAAATAGAGAGAGAGGGGGATAACTATAGAGAGAGGGAGATATATTTAGAGAGAGGGATACAACTGGAGAGCAGAGCTGATAGAGAAGTTAGCTGACAGATAGAGTTAGAGAAATGTGATATGCCTGCTATGTATATATACCCTGTAAAATTTACATTATATGACAAAAATTCAAAGTTTAATTTAAGATTTCTCTGATCTCTGAAGTGAAGAGGCTTCTAGTAGGCTGATGTATCTATAAGTCTATGCTGTTCTTAGTAGTTTCCTTTTTTGGAATAGGCAATACCTCGTATATATAATATAATATATTACACACATATAATATACAATATAATCTATTACATAAAACAAAGATCCCCAATCTTCCAGACTTTCAGTTCTTTAAACCTGAGCAAGTATTGGCCAGTCTTTAGGAGCCGTTTAAAAGCTTCTTGTTAGTTTTTTCTTCTATAAACTGTTGTGGGTACCGTTATCAATTGGCCACAATATGGTTTTTTTCTTTTTTCGTTATTATTTGCGCCATTAAGTGAAAATGAAATGAAATCGTTTCAACTCTTTTTGCGACTCTTCGTGACAGTGAGACAAACAGACAGACGAATCGACACAAGCGGACAGACGGACGGACGGACGGACGGACGACCAGCTGGACAAGACTCATTAATTGATTGATGGATGAGTGCGGCGCAAATGTGTCTCCGGTTTTTTGTTTTGTTTTTCGTATAGCTACAGCATCGGCCGCTGCTTCATCTGCAGCTCCACTTTATATAGAGATTTCCGTTTAGTTTTTTCTTTAAATTATTTGATTTACGTTTTCGCTTTTTTCTCGCATCGATTTTCACCTGCCGCACAGATTGTCTACCTGGGCGCCTTCTCGTGCGAGGTCTCGTGGCTGCTGGAGGCCCACGGCGAGCTGCCCTTCGCCGCCTATACGCTGTGCACACTGTACTTTGTGATGTTTGTGGCGACGACCATTCTGATCCATGGCCTAGTGAGTGGGCTCTGCTGGCCCCTATTCGCCTGGTCGGCTGTCATCGGGCTGATGTCGATACCGGAGCTGGTGCTAGTGATGCTAATGACCACGCAGCATTGGGTGAGTAACTGAGAGAGAGAGAGAGAGAGTGAGAGAGAGTTACTCAACTTTGACAACTTTCCATTCACAGGGTCTGCAGTCGGTGCACGGCCTAACGGAGCTCACCTCCTATTTGATAAGGCTCATCATCAACTGCCTGGCTCTGATCTGCGTCATTCCCACCGGCATCAAGTGGCGTCGCGAGAGGCAGGTGCTCAATCAGCTGCAAGGCCTGGCGACCCGCCTCTCCCTGCAAACACCGGCGCCCAGCGTGCCCATGACCAAGGCGGACTCGAGGCGCTCCAGCCAGCGGCTGAGTGGCTTCGAGAACGCGGGCTACCAGCTCTGCGACGAGACGAAGCTGCCCCTGGGCAGCGGAGCTAACCAGATGTTTGGCTCGCAGAACGAGTTCAATGCCAGCATGTTTGCGCCCCAGCAGTATGTGCCCAGCCAGCGGAGCAGCTCGAGTCAGGGGCATCGCGCCCAGTCGCTGATGGATCTGCGCTGCACGCTGCCCGGCATGTACAATCCCCGGCACGTGCTGGACACGGAGGACAAGAATGCCAAGTACTTCAATATAACCATAGACGACCTGAAGCACAATTTGCAGGATTCGCACCGCCCGTCGCCGCCCTCGCTGATTGGCTCCGCCAGCAATGATCCCATCTACTGCTCCATCGAGCCCAAGCAGCTGACGCCGCCGCCCGCCCAGCAGCAGCAGCGACATGGCCAGCAGAAGAAGCTGGCGCGCAACTGCATCTCCCTGGAGAACCTCGACGGCATTAGCAAGGTGCAGAACGACCTGGCTGCCTATGGCAACAATCTGCTGCAGAACTACACGCAGCAGCAGCACTACTACTTGGCCATGCTGCTGCAGCAGCAACAGCAGCAGGCGGCCGCAGCAGCAGCGTCCAATCTCTACCGCCGCCCCTCGGCCTGCAGCGTAACGGGCAGCTGCACAATGCTCGGAGTGCAGCGACGCGGCTCCCAGCAGCTGCAGCAGCAGCAGCTCCATCAGCAGCACCTGCAGTACTACGGCGGCTTCGGCTATGCCAACTATGCCAATCCCTACATCACAGCCAACAGCAAATTGTCCCTGGGCAATGAGTCCGATGACTATCGCAAGTATCGCGATGTGGCTCTTTAGTAGAGATTTAAGCTATGCTCCAGTCAAAAACACACACACACACATATATCTATATATCTATATATATAAATTATACATCATACTCATTAGCTGTAGCCTGCTCGACTACCACAGACAAGAAATTCCTCGGAATAACGACCAAAGAGCCACAAAACTAACTCAATTACAGTGTTTGTATTCGCTTCGTTTCGTCTGCACTTGCAGTGCGTAAACCTTGTCAATTGAGGTTCTAGCTGTATGCAAATTAGTTATAAGCGCCCTATGTCCAATACGAACATTACCACTTTCACAGCGACAACGACTTTGGCTTTAAAAGTAGATATTATGTGCAGCAATTTGCAATAATTACCAGTAACTACTTGTAATTACCCGTAACTACTTGTAATTACCTTTTAATTACAAGCAATTATTGTTTTTCACAAATTAATACAAGAAAACAATATTTGTATAACCTGACTTATTTCAGATTTTGTGCTAATTACTGCAATTCTCGAAAGGAGTTTTAAGACAACTACTTAAGTAATTGACATTATTTTCGGAAATTTAATTTGTATTTTTTACATTAAAAATGCTGAAACCTATAGTTACTCAACTAATTAAACCAAGAATGGTGTAATTAATATGTAATTAAGCCGTAAAGCCAGTAATTACTCAGGTAATTGTAGGTCAAAGTCGCATTAACTCTTATCGCTCCATAAATGGCATAAGAGAGACACAGAATAAATGCTAACTACAACAAGTAGGCTGTTAATACCGATCCAGACCATATATACTTACATATATTAGGTATATATATAGAGTATATGAATGTGGAATCTATATAGAGCTAACTGTTTTAGTAACTAGTCTAACTATCGAGTGTTCACTGTATTATTAATTACTGTACTAGAGATTAACAAATATTTGAAACTGTTTTCTTGTAGAGTTGTGTAATTAACATAAACAAATCGCTAAGTGTAAATATACATACAATGGAGGACAAAAGTATTTTGACAACGCATTGCAAAAACTTTAACCCCTTATTTCTTCGTGCTGAGTGAGCTAACGGTACCCATTATATTTTTTAGAGAGAGCAAACATACTAGGCTTTAAGTGACCAAAATATTGCAGTGATAACATAACTCATTATTTTTCTATAATTATTTGCATGCCGGATTGTCATTATTTGGGTGGACAAAAGTATTTTGACATTCCTGTTCAAATTCATTTTCAGTAATTCGCTTGAATTAAAAAATACGTATTTTTATTTTTAAAGTTATTTTTTGTGTCCTCTTTAATAATAGCCATTAGTTGATCATAGTTTTCGGTAAATTATGGGCAAACAACGTGATTAAGTGAAATCTTTAAAAAATCAATCGGTCACAAAGAATAATGCAGGTATTTCTGTGGAAATGCTTTCAAGCTTATAAAATGCACCTCTATGACCAATTTACTACCGAATTAGCAAAAAATAGAAAACTGATTCACTCAAAAAAAAGGCCAGACCGGGAAAATCATTCAAAAAAACCTGTAGAAAGCCGTATCATATTAACAAATCTTAAAGAAAATGTTCGGATTTTCCTAAAAGCCATGTCGATCAAAGTAAAAAATAATCATAAATTGTCAGTAAGCAGAAAAACTATCAGAGGTCGGCGAAAGAAGGCCAATTTTTCTACTTTATAGATCTTGCAATGCCCTTAATATCACTATAAAATAAACTAAAAAGGTAACGATTTGCTAAAACGTTCATAGGCAAGCCGCAATTCTTCTGGAGAAAAGTATTATGGATGGAAGATTGTTCCTTTGAGTATCCTGGATAAAAAAAAAAAACGATTTATAGCAGGTTGCCAAAGGATATACGCAAAAAAAGAGTGCTATGTACGAACGGGTGTCACATGGTGAAGAATCGGTAATGCTCTGGGGGCTCACATGTGTCGATAGCCTCTCCAATTTGATATTAATTAATGGAAAAATGAAGAGGGATAATTATTTACGTGTCCTGAATGACCACTCATCGAATGACGGTTACCGGCTCATTGGAAAATCGTGTATACTGCAGCAGGACAATGATCCATGCCACGAGGTCCCTATTATAATTCAATTTTCGGGGAATATTGAAGTCAATACATTAGATTGGCCACCTCAGGGTCCTGATCTCAATATTATAGAGAATGTGCGGGCTTATGCAAAAGTAAAACGTAGCTTAGAATTATCAAAAACGCCCAAGGATAGGGATTGCTGAGGCTTGAGGACTTTAGCAGGATTTTTCAATAGAAACATTACAAAATTTGGTTAAATCGATCCCTAAACGCTTGCAGATGTCTAAGGAGGGTTTAATTCTTATTAATATTTTTGTTACTATCATCATTGTTAAGTTTTTGTTTCACTTTATTTAATAAATATTAATGTCAAAATACTTTTGTCCACCCAAATAATGACAATCCGGCATGCAAATAATTATAGAAAAATAATGAGTTATGTTATCACTGCAATATTTTGGTCACTTAAAGCCTAGTATGTTTGCTCTCTCAAAAAAATATAATGGGTACCGTTAGCTCACTCAGCACGAAGAAATAAGGGGTTAAAGTTTTTGCAATGCGTTGTCAAAATACTTTTGTCCTCCATTGTAATTGAATCAAACATGTTTTATTTTTATTTAAAGCTCCTTAAGGTCCTAATAGATCAGCCAGCGGATTATCCGCTATATCTGTGGAACTGCCCTGTATGGGCGTGGCTGTCTGCTTTTTGATTGCATTGGATGCTCCAGGCTTTGCACCACGCTTAGCACCGCCGGCAGGTGCAACTGAAGCAGCTGCTCCACTGCCAAACAGATCATCGTCATCCTCGTCATCGCTGAAGAGACTTTTACTTTGTTTGACGACTGGCTTTGCCTTGGCCTTGGGCAGCTCCTCCTTCGGTCCCTTCTCGCTGCTGGCAAACAATGTAGCTTGGCTTATTGCTGCCGCTGGCTGAGATTTGGTAGGGTTAGCAGCTTTGCTGCTGAACAAATCATCATCATCATCGCTGTCATCAAAGAGTTGCGTTTTCAGCGCCTTCGGTTTGCTCTGCTCCTTAGCCAATGCAAGGGGAGTCGCTTTACTGTCCTTGTGCTCATCCTTTAACTTTGGCTGAGCCATTGCCTTGGTTGGCTTAAAGAGTGCATCATCCTCCTCCTCATCATCGCTATCCAGGAACGTTTTAGTTGGCGCTTTGAGCTTCTCTGGAGCAGCAGGAGGAGCAGGAACTGGAGCTGGTGCTGACTTGGCAGCTTTTTCACTTAGAGCTGCTGCAAAAAGCGCATCCTCATCGTCATCGTTGTTGTCGAGGAAGGATACGTAGGATTTGGGTGGCCCAGCAGCGGCTCTTCGTGGGGGAGCGGTTGATGCTGGACTAAAGAAAAAACTATTACTATCATCCTCATCCTCATCGCTGTCCAAAAAGAAAGCCGATTTGGGTGGGAGCTTCTTCACGTCATCCTCTGGCGGTAGCGTGGATACCAAGGCAATCGGTGTAGGCTTTGGGTTAGTAAATGCAGGAGCAGCAGATGTAGCAGGTACTGCTTGATGAACTGAAGCAGCTGTTGCTGGAGTGACAGAAGGCACTGTAGAAACTGTTGGAGAAGTAAGTGCAGTAACTCCTGCTGAGGCGGTCTTTGGTGCACCTTTCAAGACAGCAACTGAAGCAGTTTCTGCAGCAGCAGCTGAAGCAGCTGTGCCTTGAGTAACAGCAGGAGCTGCTGCTGGCGAGGCATTTGAGGCAGCTTTCTGGACAGCAGGAGCTGCGGCTGGAGTAGCTTTAGGGGCAGCAATTGAAGCAGCTGCTGGAGCGACAGCTGCTACTTTTCTTTGGAGTGCCTTGCCGAAGAGCGCATCATCATCATCCTCTGGATCACTGTCCGCAAACAGAGTTGGCTTGGCACTCGCCGCGCGCTGTGGTTCCTTGGGAGCTATCTTCGTAGCAGTCTGTGCTGGCGCGCCCGTTGCAAGGGACTTAAACAGGGCATCATCCGCAGCCTGCTCCTCGTTGTCATCGCTGTCGAAGCTAGGCAGCTGTCCAATGGATTTACTGGCAATACTGGCACTTGATGTTGTGGCAGAAGTTGATGGCACAGCTGCCGGGGCAACACTGTCGGCCGATTGGGACTCCAGCAAGCTCTGAGCATAGTTGGCCTGTCGAGCACGTCGAGTCGAGGGTCGACGATGAGCTGGACCTCTCACGCGCGTCTTGCCAACGCATTGCAAAATGTTCTCCGCCTCGCTTGAGGTTGATTTGGGCGTTTCTTTCAAGGCTGGACTTGGAGCTTGGCTAATGACTGGAGGTGGAGCTTGGCGAATAACTGGAGCTGGAGCTGGCTCATCCTGCTTTTTGGGCAGCTTGGCGCTAGGCAGCAGCGCATGCACATTGATATTTATGTTGGGCATTTGCAGTTTCTTGACGGGAGAGCTGGGCTTAGCCACATTTGCAGGCGGCCTCTCATCCAGGCAGGCGGCAGCGCCTGCGCGAGCAGTTTCACTAAAGTCATCATAGAAGATGGTGTGAATCCGCTTCGGTGTCGACGATTCTTCCTGCACAGGAGCTGATGCTTTTCCCGCTGCAGCGGCTGCTGCTGCCTGCTCCGCTTCCTGATCATCATCATCATCATCTGGTGGCACATCGCTAAACAAACGCATGCCACCATAATCCTTGCTGGCCTCAGCAGCTGCTGGCAGATCGGGCAAAGCGGGCTCATAGAAGTCGTGTTCGTGCTCGCTGTCGAACATCTTGGAGCCGCCCAAACTGGGCAGACTGCTGGTGCCCAGAGACTGAAAGAACTCGCTATCATCGGGCGGCTCATCCGAGAAAAGACTGGAGTAGTTTTGCATTATTTGCTTTGCAGCAGCCACATCTTCGGCTGCACGCGCCTCCTGCTTGGCTTTGCCTTGGCCTAGCTCCGCAACGAGACTGATGATGGGATCCTGCTGGTCCTCAACAACTGCCTCTGGCTGCTCCTCTGTTCTATCAGCCACGACGCTTTCCTCAGGCTTCCAATCAGCCAATCCACGCTCCATAACGGTCTCCCTCTCATTGCCCAATAACTGCGCCAACTCTGGTTCAAATTTGGAGGCAGCAGGCCTCACCTCAAGCTCTTCCTCCTTCACTTCATTACCCTTAGAGTGCACCTCAGGCTTGGCAGGTGGCTCCACTTGATTCTCCATGTTCTGCACCTCCGACTTTGCCTGCTCAGCAGGTAGCTCATCTGCAGCTTTGTTCTGTGGCTCTTCCACTGCTCTAATCTCTTTTGAATCTCCTATTATTTCCCTGTCGCTGAAATCATCGTTGAATAGATCTGATTTGAGCATTGGCAGCTGCGCCTTATCAGTCGAATCTTTGCCTGTTTGCTTCTCTTCAGCTTGCTTTGCAATTTGTTGTGGCTCCAGCTCCAACTGCTTTGACAGCTCCTCCGCAGGCTTGACAGCTGCATCTGCTGTCGGAGCTTGCTCAGCAAGTCGCTTAGTTTCCCTTTCCGCTACAATATATACGGGCTTTATTGACTTGGGCGTGGCAAAGAGATCATCATCCTCCTGATCATCAAAGAGACCGTGTTTAGGCAGCTCCACAGCGACTGGAGGTGCAGGCTCAACCAATTTTGGCTTGTTCTCACTTCCTTTGGAGTCCTTGCCAAAAATGTCTTCCACTAGCTGCTCATCCTCCTCATCGTCATCGAACAAGGACACCTTGCTCGTAGGCTGCTTCCTGGCAATCGGCTTAACAGGTGCTGGCTGGCCTCTCTCAGTCTTTGTTGGTTGCCTCTCAACTGCTTTTGGAGCCCCAGAAACTTGATCGTCCGCCAGATCATCATCGAACAAAAAGGTTTTACTTGCTAATGAAGCTGCCTCTGTAGGCTTCCTATTGGCTGTCCGCACTGCAGCTGTTGGCGCAGGCGCAGGCTGCTTCTCAACGCCTCTTGGTGGTTTGCCAAAGATGTCTTTCTCGTTATCCTCTTCCACATCATCGAACAGCGCAGTTTTTCCAGTTAGATTAGCTGGCGGCGCTATAGGTTTGTTCTTCACAAATATATCATCTATATCCAAATCATCATCGTCATCGAATAAAGACTTCTTGAACGCTTGCGGCTGTGGCTTTGCCTTGGGCGCTAGGGAGCTCAAGAAGTCATCGACATCGTCATCCAAATTGTCGTCGAAGAGCGATGTGGGCACCTTCTTAACGGGCTGTACAACAGTTGCGGGTTGTAAATTGGGACTTAACGGTGGGCTGTCCTCAAAGAGATTTGGTCGACGCGAGGCTGTCTCAATTGGCTTTGATTTGACTTCCTGCGGAACAGGCACTTCCTTTGGCTTGACCACAGTCGCAGTTTGGGTCGAGTTGCTGCCTGACTTAGCTTGCACCTTGTCCACTATTTCCGACATAAACGAATTGAACTCATCGTCATTGAACAGATTAACAGGTTTTCGCTTAATTTGATTGCCAGCTGCAACGGGTTTAACTTCGCTGGCAGCTGCAATGGGCGTAGCAGTAGGCGTGGCTGCTGGAATTGTTGGAATTGCATCATCAAATAATTTGGGCGGACTTTGTTTGCCCCCTGCTTGTACGACTCTGCTGACGTTGCTGCTACTCGAGCTGAGCGAAACATTTGCTCTTGATTGATTCGTAGCTGCAGCAATTCCATGAGAAGTGGCTGAAGAGGAGTTAAGCGAGGATGAAGTGGAGGGCGGATCATCGCTAGGAGGCGAGGCACGCAGCGCTGCAAATAAATCGCTCTCATGTGGATTTCTGTGCATGCTGATAATAGGTCGAGGCTGAGCTATAGGGCGAGCAGCTCCCTCGACTACAGGCGCAGCTGCTGGCACTGGCTGCCTGACAACTGGTGCCTCCTTCGGCAGCGAGGCGAGTGAAGAGGAATCTGATTGCAGCGATCGCTGTGATGGGTCCCATTGTTGCTTCGGCGCAGCTTTTGGTGGCTGCACTAATTCCTGCTCATCCGAGGAGCTGGAAGAGAACTGCTCTGGCTGCTCGTCCTCGCTATTTTCAGCACTATCATAGAGTCCCGCGTACTTGTGCTCCTGCCACTGCTTGGAGCCAATAATAAAAGGCAATGGGATAGCATCATAGGGGTTCTTGTCGCGGAACACAGTGCTGCAAGTGAGTAGAAAAAGGGTAATGGAGATTCCATATGAAACTGCATCACTTACGTGGCATTTACAGCGCCATCCTCCTCATCCGAATCGGACACTTCTATTGTGACTGCCTCAAAGTTCTTTCTAAACATTTGCAAATTATTTTGCAAAAACTCTTCAGACAGTTCCTTGGAGGTCTTCAACGGAGGCTCAGGCTGTGATTGGAATGACGATTAGGCTCAAAATACATACACGAGATAACAGCGTGAATATACATCAATACCTTCTTCACCTCCTCCTCAGGCAACGCAAAATCATCATCTTCCACCTCCTCCACGCGATACTCCACGAATTGCTGTCCGAATTGCAGCGAACGCAGACTGTTTGTTGCATTGTCCAGGGCAATGTCAGTACGTCTCACGTTCGTTTCAAATTGGATTAAATTGTTGGTCGTTCGCTCGCCCCGCTCATGCAGATTCTGAAAATTGCTGTGATTAATACAAATTTGCTCTCTTCTTTTATCAATATTAACGCCCACTTGGGAGATGCGTTTCATTAGCTCCAACAGAGCGCAGTCACCAGCAAAATTCCAGTCTGAAGCCTGCGATATAATCGCGTTCACATCTTCACTTATATCCATTTTAAATATATATCAAATATGCTTAAATTGTAAATAAACAAAACAATTTGCCGCTGCAGCCATCAATCACAATAGAACTTGATTTGATGTGTGGCTCACACACGTTATAGCAAGTCATGCAAAGTGCACAGTACGAAACCTCAACATTTACATTTAATATACATAGATAAAATATGAAAAATGATTATAAGATTAAGTTTGTTAAATTTTAAATTAATATGCACCACCTAATAACTGTTTTCCTATTCCTAAATCTTTGCTGCTCTACAAATCAGTTTAATGAGGCTCACACACTCTGCAGCAAAATATGCAACGAGCAATTTTGATTCTGTTTGTTTAAAATTGAATTATGAGAATGCTTAAAATTTTTAAAGAAAATAAATTTTCTATAATATTAATAATCTAACAATAAATGCCTTAAAATGCGCCGAATTATTTAAATGTTCAGTTCATGGCCCATACACGACACACTCGCCCTCGTCGTACATGCACAAGCGAACAGCTGATTTCGTGATTTCTTTTCGAGTTTCTTTTGCTGCTGCTCAACACGTGTTTGGCATGGGCTGCGCTTGTATCGGAAACTAAAAGTTATTTTATTTACACAAATATTATTTATTGTTTATTTTTATTGAACATAAAAATTAAGTGACCTGCATACAAACATATAATATTTTAATAATGGCAATGCTCGCAGAACCGCGTCGTCGCAAGCGCTACAATTTGTGTCCGCGCGGCAAGCCACTCTACGAAGGTGAACCAAAAGAAAATGAGCATGAAAATTTGAATTTACGAATTTTATTTTAACTGCAGATGATTCGCGCTTTGGTACGAAAATGCTGGAGAAAATGGGCTGGACGAAAGGCCGTGGCCTGGGTGCGAATGAGGATGGTGCTCAGGAATTTGTGCGTTTGCGCTTCAAGAACGATTGCGGAGGACTGGGCTACGGGGAACGCGATGATCAATGGACCATACATGACGATAGTTTCAATGGGCTGTTAAAGTCCCTACATGGAGGAGAGGAGAACGGCAATGCATCTGAATCCGAAGATGCCCGACCCATGGGCCTTGGTTTCAAAGCGGATGTAACTGCTGCTGAAGAGCCAGAGCCAAAGAAGCTCAAGGAAAAGCTAACAGGAATATCCCTGGAGGAGAAATCCAAGCGCAGTAAGGCTCGCGTGCATTACAAGAAGTTCACACGTGGCAAGGATCTGGCACAATACAGTGAGAAGGATCTGGCCAACATATTTGGCAAGAAGGCTGCGGATGAAACTGAGATTCCAGCGCAGATCAAGAAACAGGAAGAAGTGACGGAGGAGAAACCTGTCAATCCTAACTTTGCAGGCGTTTGCACTATAAGCACTGGACTCTCTGTCAATGATTATTTTAAACAGAAAATGGAAGCAATGAAGCAAAAGATGGCGCAAAATAAAAATGTTGAAAATACCTCGATGAATGCAGCAAATGAAATCGCAAATGGAGATGAAAATGTTGAAGAACCGCCTATTAAAAAGAAGAAGAATGTTGAAAATACCTCGATGAATGGAGCAAATGAAACCGCAAATGGAGATGAAAATGTTGAAGAAGCGCCTATCAAAAAGAAGAAGAAAAAGAAGGATAAGAGCAGAGAAAAAGAGCAAGAGACAGTAGAAACTGAAGTGCCAGCGGAAGCAGTGGCAGAAGAACCGTCCAAGAAGAAAAAGAAGTCAAAGCGTGCAGCCGAAGAGAATGCGAAAGCAGAGAAAGAAGAGCCAGAAACAGAAGCATCTAGTGAGCCAAAGCGCAAAAAGAAAAAGAAGGATAAGAAAGAGAATGAGGCGCCCTGCGAAGTAGCTCCAGCTGAAGAAGAGCCTAAAAAGAAGAAGAAGAAATCTAAGAGAAATGAGGATATCAATGTGGAAGCAGAGTTTAGCGAAAAGCCTGCCAAAAAGAAGAGTAAGAAGAACATAGAAGAACTTACAGAGGAGCCAAAATTAACAGAACCGGTTCCAGAGAATAGAGAAGACAGTAAAACAGAAGACAAAGAAGAGAATGAGTTCGAATTGAAAGAGGAAACACCCCAAGAAAAAATTGAGAAACGTGCTAAAAAAGAAAAGCAAGAAAGTAAAAAAGGGGACAAAGAGGAACCGCAATTACAAGACGAAACTAAATCTCAAACGAAATCGATGACAAGCGACGCACCCAATGGTGATGACCTTGCAACCACCCCCAGAGAGCTACAAGAGCCCGCCAATGAGACGCAGACTGAAACTGAAGTAAGTGAAGAAGAATCAGATAAGAGTGGCGTACGCTATCTATCAATGTCGCATTTGCTAAAAATGCAAAAGTCATTCAATGTATTCGAAATCTCTTCATTTTGCGCAGAAAAGTTTCACATCTTAGATATGGGGGCGTTCAAGGACTCCTCACTGAGCGAAATAGTTGGCTACTCCTTGAATGAGAACATTGAACTCCAGGTGAAGGAGATGCATACAGATGCGATGCGCATCATGAGTCTGTGGGAGGGCAGGCGTTCAAAATATTCACAAAAATCAGATGTAGAGCGGACACGCATTATGGTAAAAAAACTGAAATATAAGAGAATCACGGGTTCGCATCTTAAAAAGTTAAACAATTGTAATGCCTTCTCAGGACTGTAGTTAAGAATACATACAAAACGTAAATATTAATAAATGTAAATCTTAATTGTAAACAACTGTTGAATTCTTAACTTGTAGATAATATATTAGCTTTCCTTTTGTACATAGTTTCCATTTTTAATATGTAACAATTATATATATTTATTATATATAATAAAACCTGCCAAGGTGGATGCGCACTTACATAAAAAATAATGAGTGATCGTTTCTTTTGATTAATGATTTGATTAATACAAATAAATATATATTAAACAATTACATATATATATTGAATTATTTAACATATACATGTTGGTATGCTGTATGTTGAGAACTCTCCTCTATTCCGAAATTTGACTTCAGTCTTCCTAGGAGAGTTTTTGTGCAGTTTTGTTTATATTTTGATTTACATATATAGATAAATATGTATATGTTTTTATGAACGTGTCACTCGCAGAGGTATGGTTTAACATTTGAACAAGTTTTATAATTAATTACTAATTGTTAGTTATTAAAGCTATACAATAAGCAAATATCAAAGGCCTCCTACTCAGGTGCATTATTCCGATTAGCTAATCGACGCGAACGACGCAACGGGCGATTATCATGGGTTTGACTGCGACGACGTTTCAAACTCTGCGTCGCTATATTTCTATTATAATTGTTCAGATTAACATGCGTATCCCACTGAAAGATAACAAAACAGTTAGCTCAAATCCGATTTCGTTTCAAAGGCAATGCCCTACCGAGCTGGATACAATTTCAGAGCGCACTGGATGCCAGTCCAGGTCCCGTATAACGTTTTTATGTCCCTCAATAGCCTCACGTATCTTCCCCGTCAGCACGTCATAAACTGTGAGGAAATAATAGATATATAAATATGAGTAGTTGTAGATGTATACCTATAGAAAGTGAAGATATTTTTACTTATTATTCGGCCCGTGGCACAGCCCGTGTATATGAAACGCTGTCCTGTTTGCTCCATGGGAGAAAACTTCGCGCGAAGCAGCGTTTTACTAACACGATGTCCACGATAGGTCATAATGCTGCTATCACCATCTAAAGCTTTTCGTGGATTGTAAACTGTAATAGAAGAAAAGAGGAAAAAGTTATAAATTCATTCATAATGAACTAAAATATATATGATATATAAGTTATTAAAGGGAAGGCAAAGCAAGCGAAGTTAGGTTTAACTTTATACATAACACACTTGATAGCTATATATTGCTTACATTCGCGGGGAACACGATCCCAACGATAGTCCCATGTAGTCATTGCCAGCTGATGTTGGCGGGCGGTGCTGCGGTTTCGCAGATTGCTTGGCTTGCGCATATCCCAGATTTTGATACTTTGGTCCTTGGAATTGGAGAGCACATGGTAGCCATCATTGCGCGAATCAATATAGGTAATCCCATCAAAGTGTCCAATAAACGAGACAACACTTTTGGACAGATTGCGACTGCGAAACGAGGTGCGTAAATCGTAAACCTTTAACAAGCCATCATCACAACCGGCTATTATCACATTCGGATCATTGTCATTAATATAAGAAACGGCATTCACATCCGTTACAGGCATGCGATGGGTGCGCAGGATCTGTGTGGCACGTGTCTCCACATCTCCAATAATCACAGCGGAATTGTTACTGCCACCAATAATCTTATCGCCCGTTGGCGAATAACGAATCGAGAAAATAGCAACGCGACTGCTCGAAGTATCGTTCACGTCGATCCATTGGCAATCATCGTCAGAGCCATCAACGGGCATTATATAAACTACAAAGGGAGAAAAGGAGATAGATCATGAATGTAAATAGATCTTAAATAACTATTTATAGCACACAACTCACAAGAACGTGACCAAGTGGAGTAGGCGAAATGCTGGCCATTCGGACTAAAGTCCGCATCTGTAATGCTCCACTGTATATCGCGTGCACTTATTCTATTCAGCAGATGATAAGTGCCCTTGGAGCCATCGTTAATGCGGACAAAGCCATCTGTAAAGTCAAACTGCGCATTAATTCAATGGAAAAACCAAACTGGAACTGAAACTGACCTTGACACGCTGTTAAGAGCTTGGTGCCCGTCTTATTGAACTTGGACACAAACACTTTGGCATCGAGCGACATTAAACGCATTGATCTATGGTTCGGTATATACATGTTAGAGAAATAACGTTGTTGATTTGGCGAGAAAGAGTCGCTGCCAGGATATGCAAGTCCATTTTCACGCTTTTGCAGGGCTTGCATTAAGTTCCAGCGCTGTTCCGTTGGCTTGGCGGTCATGCTGCAACGAGCTTTTACCTCGTTGTACATCTCTGTGTACTGTAACGATTTGCAATTGATTGTGGGTAAACAAAGAAACTATTATCAATTTCATGCTCACTTTAAATTTATCTACGTTTGGCTTTTCACAAACTGGCAGATTATTTGGGTGATTGTTTTGTTGACGAAAATGCACATCCATGGCATCCACTGTGAAATTGATAACATTGTAGCCAAGTCCATCGGCGGGTATGTCAAATAGGTCATCGTCTTCGCTTATGATCCCCAATGAATTTCCCATGCTATAATAATGGATGTCAAACCAAACAAAATAAATGGAATTTACACCAAATTGTCAATAAGTTGTTTGTTAGAATCAATGTGGAGGCGGGTCGACTGCGAGCTCTCAGCTGTGTTATATATCGGTAAGTCACAATAGTTGCAATTTTACAACACTGAAAGTAGAAGCTGTTGTGAATGGATTAAATTTAAATTACAATTAAATTATTTGCTTGCTTTCTCATAGAATCATTGTTTTATTCCATTCTGAAGTCAATAAAAAATATAGCTATTTTTGCCTTTTAATTTTGGTGTTTACATTTGCTGTTAATTAACAGCACTCAAAGCTGTTTGCTCGGCTTGGAGCTTAGGCATGTCTCAAAGCTCGGATCAGTCTCTCGGCGATCGTTAACGAAGTAGCGTGCGCAACGGTCGGCTTTACTTTGCCTTGCACTTGTGTGTGTGTTTATGAATATATATGTGTATGTGTGCGTTTGGTAATGAAATTTGTTACATTCCCGTTTACAGTTTGTATTTGTGTTGGTGCGCAGTTGTGCACACACAGAATCCGAAAATATTATAAAAATGCCAAAAATGTAGTAAATAATAAAGAATCTTAAACTTTTGGCTGTGCCCGTTCCCGTGCCTGCGCCTGTGCCTGTGCTCACTGGACTGTGTGCGTGTGCATGAGTGTGTGTGTGTGTGCGTTTTTAGTGGCGAGTTTTGTTGCTATACCAGCTTATGCTTATGCCGTCTATGCATGTGTGTATGAGTGTGTGAAATTTATCATAAATACTTTTGCACAACGCGCGCCCCTCAAAACGCATGAGAAGAAAGTTGTTTAGCTGCGTAGAAAACAACACACGAAACAAAAAACAAAAAAAAAAGCATCGAAACACGAAAGAATAACAGAAAACAATTGAAATGCTGAAACACAAAGTATGTCAAATGTTTGTTAGAAGTTAGCGGAAGAGCAGCGGGAGGAGCGGAGGAGCAAAGGGCCTTCCGAAGTGCATAACGTCTAAAACGAACTTTCCAGCCATGCACTTGCATACATTCATATCTATTTATGTGTATGTGTATATCGCGTGTGTATAATCAAGGCAAAAATAATAATAATAATGGAAAGAGACGAGAAATAATTTACAAAAAAGTGGAGCGGCACACAAAAAAGTGAAAGATTGCAAGCATGCACACACACACACACACAAACGCACGCATAGAGTAAACGAGAAAGAGAGAGAGAGGGAGAGAGAGAGAGTGGGCACCTGCAGTCATTGTTGTTGCTGCACATTTGTTGTTTTTATTTCCCTTTTGTCTGCTTTGTACGTAAATAATAAACGTCGTCTGTGAAATTTAGTGCACACTGCGTTTTAGTGTTGGTTAGAGTGTGTTGGCCTGGAATCAGATTTGGATTTTTGACAGTTCTCGCCCATTGTTAGGGCGGCTTCCAATTAGCAGCTTGGAATTTGGCACACTTGCAATTAGCACTAGCCGAAAGTACTTGCTTAAGCCATTAACAGCACTAAGGTCCGCTTTCCACATTCCATTATCTGCCAATACATATTTGCGCATTTCATTTGCCACAATAGATGGCAAAAACGAAATATGAAAAAACAGAGTTATCTCCAGCTACCTTTTTTTTTAATGCTATTCATTTCGTTTCGTAAGCGCGCAATTTAAATGTGTTTTTATTTTCTTTCTATTTTCGTTATTTTTATCTTTATCTGCTTTTGACCGTGCAGCGGTCGTAAGTGACGCAATCATTTGCATTTTGTTTAAATAACTATGATTGTTTCATTGCTAATGACTGCAAACCAGTTATAGATATAAACGAGCTGTATTTTATTTAGACATTTCATTTCATCTGACGTGGTTGTTGTTGTTGTTGCTGTTGCTGTTGCTGGCAATTATACCAATAAAAGCTCATTAAAGTGTTCACATCATTGTTGCTTCTGCTGCTGCTGCTGCTGCTGCTGCTGCTGCGGCATATTGTCTTTTACCGTTATTAATATCGATAACAATGACATATCGTTTTTGTTTTATTGCTGCTGGTCTCAAAAGACTTAAGCAACGAACTTGCCACCAAAGTGTCACGCAGCTAATAATAAAAAAAAAGTAATCGAAAACCAAACACCCAAAACGCTCTTTATGCAAATAACATTTAATCTATTTAAATATTTTGATTGAGCGACTTTCGTTTTCTTTATTGAAGTTGGGTTTTTTTTTTCTCGTCTGAAGTTAAACTGATTTTCGGAAACAATTCAAAAGAAATAATGCCATCACTTTTTTAACAGCTTGAATTGAATTATTCAAGTTTTCTTTTCTCTATCTTGAATATGTTGAGAATGCTCGTTTTACGTAATAGGAAATTGTCGCTTCGATAATGAAATATGATGCTTAATATAGATTTCAAATGTTCGTTTCTATTTACATAATAGTTGTCATTAGCCAGAGAAAACTCGTTTCTAGTTATCAATTGAGTTAGCAAGCATTCTTATTTATGGAAATATATGTGTCTGTATACGTGTGTATGTAAATGTATGATGTAATTAATTAACATATAGATCTCTTTAATGCTTCACTATGTTAGTCTTTCAAACTAAAATTTTAGTAGAGTTTCATATGATTAGATGCGTCTACTCAGGCTGATCTTATGCATCATATACATTCATTAATACATACATTCATCAGTTCAGCAAATTACACATACATACAAAAATACATTCATAAATGCATATGTATATAAATGCATATATACACACACGTACATATATGCACACTTCCATCTGTATACACTTTCACACTCAAGCACCTACACAAAATAGACTTCGCTCATCTTCCAAGCCAGCAAACCCTACATTAAATTATGAGAATCGAGGAGGAGAGCTCTGTTAAAAATTTCGTTTGATTAAAGTCTGCAAAGCGCAGTGAAAAGTAAATTTAAATTACACCTGATATCTATTTAGGAAATGTTGACAATGCATACATACACATACATATACTCATATATAGATATATACATATACACCTACACATATTTTTATATATGAGCAGCATTTTCATATCAGACAATTAGAATTTTCTCACCTATTTTTTATACGCAAAATGATTTTGCTTTCGGATGTCAAATTATAGAAAATATTTATATAAATTCTAAGTTATTCAACAAATTAATTTACATATATACATAAATATATATACATATATAAAAAAAACTAATTTATATAAACTCCTTTTAACTTGTATTCTTCTGAGTACTCTCTTAAGTTTATTTCGTAAAACGTTTTTAGTTTTTTATTTCAAAATATCAAAAATAAATAATCTAATTTATATGCAAATTTTTTTTGCAACTGTTTGCTCAGCTGTTTTTCCGCATCGCATTGTATGAAATGCATTGAAATGGAAAACAAATCTTACGAGACGAGACGAGACGAGACGAGACGAGGCGACTCAAGTCGAGTCGAGTGATACATGAGATAAATTTTATGCTTGGCATGTGCGAAATTCTACGCCAGCTGCGAAACACAAACAAAGTTGGCTCGGCTACCATTTAAATGGGTGTAGAAACCGGGCATAGCTGCACGTTCAGCGGGTGCAAGGAGGGTATATGGGTTAAGTCTATTTAGAAACTAGAGACTTGAATTTTCCTATATATATTATACATAGATGCTAGACGTGTATCATGCAGCCGACTGCCACGTTCTTACCTCAGCTTCCTCTTCTCCTCCTCCTGCCCTTCTGTTCAGTTACAGTTGGCTGCGCTGTGCTGGCAGCGCGTTTGCAACGCTTATGTAAGATCCGTAACCCTGCTGAGGACTGGGGCGGGGTAGGCGTTTTGTCGGTTGTCAGTTGGTTTCCAATCCCATTTCGAGTCTCTTCAATGTCTGTCATTACAAATTATCATTACACGCTAATTATGTCAAAAAGTAGACTCTGATTGGACCATTCAATCAAAGCGATATTGTGATCGCATCACAGATATGTCATATATATATGTATATATATATATATATTTCTATATATTGTGCGTATATATATTTGATTTGTAGGCGTTTTTCATTCATGGCTCGATTGACTGTTTATTTTTTGTGTGTGGGCTGCCAGCGGCGCCAAATCAATTTCATTATTAGACGTGCTCTATCGATCCCTGCCCCTCTCTCTCTTACTCTCTTTCTTTCCCTTCGTCATCAGCTCATTTATAGAATTCGTAGTCTAGTCAAACTGTGTGATGAGTGATGCTGCGAGGAATGCTGCGGGGTGTTGGCCAAAAGTTAAAACAAAAAACCATCGATACTTAAAAACGATTTTGGTCTTAATCACTCAACTGGCATTAATTGAGAAAATTAGTATAACATAGTTAGAACTAAAGATCTTTCGATAAATGTGTGGGAGGGTTGCATATATTTAATGAGCTATAAGTGGGAACAGCCGAAAAGAGGTGTTTGATTAGTTTGAAAAAAAAAAAAAAAACTATATTTACAATATTTAAATGATATATTTCATGTATAAGTGAAAACAGTTTTTATAAGTTTCTACATAGAATAGAAAAATGATTAGATATAGACAGATCAAGAGCTAGAAATTAATATAAATGTCTGTGAATAAACTCTATATTATATATATATATATACATATGAGATTAATAAAAACGTGGGAATAGTTTATGTTGTATAAAGAGAATGCTAATGAAATATATATGTAAAAATATTTTAAACAAATATAGGGAATTATATAGTTTGAAGATATGAAATGAACATAGAAAACGAAATATAATTGAAGTGAAAACCGTCAAGGGAATGAGTAATTATGCATGGGAAAATAATTAATAGAAGTGGGAACAGTTGATAGTTTCCGAGCTTGCCCAGCTTATCAAAAAGAAACTCTTTTATAACATAAGTTTACATCTGGCCAATTTTCTCTATTAAAATTTCCTCAATCAAAACATTCCAAAGATTTCGATATTAATTCTCTCTCTGCGCACAATTTGGAAATTCATTGTTTATAATTATGGAAATGAAAGGAAATGCTAATCTAATAGGAAACAGTTGTAACCCCCACACCTATCTCCCCACTTCTCTCCCTCCCTCTCACTCTCTCTCTCTCTCTTTAATTGCATTTTGTAATGCTCGATTGAGAGCAAAAGTCGGAAACTTGAAGCAAAATGGTTTTGGTAAAGATAATTTTATATTACAAAACGTTTGCTTGCCACAAAACGTGGCAAAGTGGCATGCAAGCAGCGCACAGCGGCCAGCAACCTTCGCAATTGAATGCTGCAATCAGGCTAACACCGCTCCACTCCCCTACCCCCCAAGCGTCACCTGTTACCTGTTGCCTGCTGTGAACAATTGCTTAACGTTCATTAAACTTGAAAAGAAAGCAAAGTTGTTTTTTTTTTTTTTTTATTTTGGCAGCAAGTGCAAATGCAATTGCAACAATCAATTAATATGTGTGTGTGTGTGCTTTATGGTTAGCCAACTCTGATTTAATTGTGGAAAAAATCTACAACAACAATCGCAGCAATTAATCAAATGGAAATAAAAATGCGAGGGGGTGAGAGAGAGACAGAGACAGAGACAGAGAGAGAGAGAGAGAGAGAGAGAGAGAGAGAGAGAGAGAGAGGGAGAGGGAGGCAAGCCTATAGGCGAGCTAGCCTGCTTCTGCTGCAGCAGCTGGTGCCAGGCGCGCATGTTGCAACAACAACTAATACAGCAACAAAAGCTAATACAGCAACCGTTTGCAACGAGTTCAATTGTTGCACGTTGCCTGCCAGCGAGTTCAATGGCAAATGGCTTTCAATGCCTCGTCAAGATCTCTAGCTTAACCTTCCAAGCGGGATGCTGTTGCTGTCCATATTTGAGCTCTTGCTGCTGCTGCTGCGGCTGCTGCGCCCGCTGCTGCTGCTCTTGTCCACTTTGATTAAAATACATTAATTATATTTTCACAGTCCAACTTCGCGTCGGCTCGACGAAACAAAAATGAAAGTTTATTTTGGACACACAAACCAAAGCAGAAAAGAAGAAGAAGAAAAAAAAAAAGAAAAAAATGAAGCAACTTTGGCTTTGACTTTGACTTTTTGCTGGCTTTTGGCTTTTGGCCAGTTTTGGTATTGGTCACAGTTGTTGTCGTTGTTGTTGTTTGTTGCTTTAGTTGTTGCTGTCCACTGATATGCCCAATTTGAGGCATCTGCTGCGGGTGGGTTAGCGCGTATTAAAAGGAAATTCAAATGCCCACACAAATGCGACTAAGGTGGGTTTCGGCTTAAAGATTTTTGTCATCTTCATACCCTGTAAATATGCTCAGTAGCATGGGCTTGATAGAAGCTGATTTTAGCTGCTTTTATTAACAAAGTTTGGTCATTTATTCTAAGCTCTTTTATCAACTTGATGTATGTGAAGATTTCTACTATCATTTCTAAGCATTGTCAAATATACTTCAAAATATTGTGCTTAGGTCTGTTGTTAATTAGTTGTTAATGTGTGTAGAGAATCAAAGATGTATATAACGGTTAATGTCGGCGCTTTTCAAGCTAAAAGGCTCGAATTGGAAATACATAAATACTAATCTTGACTCTCTACTCATAAATAATATAAATAACATGCGTATTTTCAAAAGAGGCGTGGCAGGTGTGAAACAACTTTAGTTATAAAAGCTTGAAATAAATAGTTGACACATGAGAGATACTATTTAGATAAAAGAGTAGAGCAGGAAACGGAGCTGTAGCATGAGATGGAATAAGCGTTTCGAATAAGCCGTTTTCGGATTCATCGTAACTCTAAAGAATTTATCTAAAGTTTTATACTAGATAAACAGAAAGAATCAAGTCTTTGTATGTAAACTCAACCAGTCTCTGTTAATTCCAGGGTACACACAAGTCGGGCTATCTTTAACTAGACCAGCACGCTTTGATTTCCATTTACTTGTTGTTTCAATTTGGCACGTTTGACTTATTTTATGTGTGTGTTTTTATTCTTCTTCCTCGCTCTTCCAGCTACTGGCCTGAGCAGCAGCCGCAGCAGCTGATGTGGAACATGGCTCACAAATTGACTGGCCAATAAATTAACATAGGAGCTGAACAAGCCAAACCGAAAGTGTCACGACCAACAACAGCAGCAACAACAACAACAGCAGCAGCAGCGAGAGGCGACGTCGAGGAGCAACAGGCAACACACGGCAGCAGCAGCAACAGCAGCAGCAGCAACAAGTAGAACTTGATAAACGTGTCGATAGACAATCGAAACAGAATATAAATTGCAAGTGAAATTTTTTTGAAATAAAAGTAAAAACTCGCACAAACCGGAAACAAAGCAACTAGAAGAAGAAGAGGAGGAAGAAGAAGACGAAGCAGCAGCAGCAGCAGCACCAGCAGTAGAAGTGGAAGTCGAAGTAGTAGAGGCAACTTCCACTAACATGTATCGGCCGAATTTCTACGAGTCGACCTGCCTGCGCTGCAGCGAGACCGTCTATCAGGTGGATCGTGTGGGTCCGCTCAAGGATTTCACATTCTTTCATTCCGGTTGCTTCAAGTGCGTTCACTGCGGCACCAAGCTAACGCTCAAAACGTATTTCAACAATCAGCACAAGCAGGATGACAAAGAGGTAAGACGAGAAACGAAAAGCGAAACGAAAGACTTAGGCAACAAACTTGCAATGAAAATGAAAATGAAAATCAAAATTTACTGCACTTTTATTACAAGTTGCACTCAGTCGATGTAGAAATGCAGGGTATACTATAACAGCTATACTATATAGTATATGTATATGTATATTCGTGATCAAGATCGTCGCCATGTCTGGTATCTCCTAGTCGTGCATACCCAATTTGCCACACTCTTACTTTACTTCACTTGCATTTTGCATAACAATAAATAACATTGTTATTGCTCTTAGCCAAATGTGTGTCATTGCGGTCTGTCAGACCTAGACATATAACTATGTCTATATACATGTGCATGCATGTATGCGAATATGAATATATATATATGTTTAGTTATCTATGCCATATCTATATTTATGGCTAGTTTTTCAGGCCTGCTCACCTGCTGTGAGTAGGTGAAGTATTTGCCTGTGCGAGTCATAATATTGCTTGACAGTTTATAGACTCTGCAGTTTAAATATATATCTGTACACACATACACACACATACATACACATACATAGGTCTAAATTTGAGTTATGACTGCTTCAAGTTAATTGCTAGAACTATGCAAGCAATTCAGTTTAATTAACAAGCGAATTCTTTATGAACTTTACGGCAGAGACGTTTCAGTTTTTCTCCCGTTCAAATTTCGATTTCTAAATCTAATTTACGTCTTTTGTAATTGTTTTCTATAAGTGAACGTGTTTTCGTTACGAATCTTTTGCTTTGTAAGTACAAAAAAATGATATAATAAATGCTATAAACATACCTATGTGATTTGAATATATAATTACATCATAAATGCCACGTTACATCATTAATGTTGCTTAGTATACCCTGTAAATGTGTTAATTCTAGTGAATATATATTTGGCATAGTTTAGTCTGAACTTATCCGGATCATTTACTGATCTAATCAAATCTCTTCCTTCGCCCACTCATACAAAGATTATAGAGCATCTTCAAGTCAAGTCAACTCAAGTCTTACTACACTTATCTCAAATCTCTCTCACTCTCTATCTCTCTCTCTTAGCCCATTTTACCCTCTTACGAAAATCATCTTTGATTTGCCTAGCATGATTTGAAAACTTTGAACTGCCTCTGATACCATTTACGGCCGCCAGTTACCAAGTTACCAAGAGTAGTGCTCTATATGGCCAGGGCATCTTATCGTATCTCGCACACCTTTTATAGAAAGATTTCACTGCATGATCCACGCAAGACAAAGCGTGACCGAAGCCCCCAAGTTTATCTGCAATGAGACTAATAAACATTTCTTATGAGCGACGCAATCTACAAATCTACAAATCTAATTGCATTGTGGCTGAGCTTTGGCTTTTGCTTTGCTTTGCTTTGTTTGCTTACCTTGTTCACTTTTGACTACGTAACGCTGCGCTCCCCTTCGCTCTCTTGCAGGTCTATTGCAGTTCACATGTACCAAAGAGCGGACCCGGTCATCTCGATCAGACGTCGGTGGGCATACGTCAGGCACTGAATGCGCCGCGCACAAACAAATTTGTGAACGAGCAAATACGCGGCACACGCACCGAAGTCGATGGTGAGTGAGGGGAGGGGATATATCTGACTTTATCTGAGTCTATATCTATCCATGTCTAATAATAAGCGATTGCAGGTGGCAGCGCTGGTGGGCTGGGCTCGCGTCAATCAACGCCCAACGGCTATGGCGGCAGGGGGGAGTTGAGCTCCCCCTCCCAAAACGATTCCGACTACAAATACGGACGATTCGATGCCAGCGCTTTGCATATTGCGCATGCGCTCAAGCAAACTGAAATACAAAAGGCCTACAACAAAGCGCGCGAGAAGCCCATCGATTTTTACCTGGTAAGTCTACCCCTCTCTCTCTCTCTCTGTCTATATATATTTATTGATGTCTATTCTAACTGCCAACTGGCCGCAAATTAAGAAATTATTTAGTGCAGAACATCTAATGAAATTTTAACTGCTCTTAACCAGCAATCATTGTTACAGTCGTTTATAGCGGACCAACACAGAGCTACACTCACGCACACACACACACACAGTGTCTTGTAAACAAACGGTTGTGCAATGCTCCCTCTCCAACTCCATCTCCATCTTTTGCCATGTCCGCCTCGCTTCGATCCGCGTTGCTAGTTGAGTTTGTGTTGGCTTTGGAGTGGAGAAGGAGGAGAGGGGGGCAACTATTTAATTAATGCACTCGATGGCTGACTGGCTGGCTGGCTGGCTGGCTGGCTGGCTGGCTAGAGTCATGATTATGTAGGCTAGTGTGCTATTTGCACTTGTGCGCCATCAAGTTTGTTGCCCAAGTCTTTTGTTTTGAGTGGGGCACTTGGAAGCCAAAAAGCCAGCAGAATTATCTAGCGCAGCAGCTAGTTAGACTAGCTAGACTATAAAGAACAGTTAAGGTATAGCTGGGCTAAGAGTGGCTAAACACTTACAGGGTATGCAAGTTTGCAAGAACTAACAGCAGCTACTTAAACTGCCAGGCTGAACTGAATTTTTATAGGGTATTAATGAGCACTTGGAGACTATAGTTTGTTGCTTAAGTCTTTTGTTTTGGGCTGGTCAATAAGCAGGTTAGAAAACTTACTTGAAAGTTACTTTTAGATTAGAAGTGGTGCAGGGGTAGAGTTCAGGCAGAGCTGGCTTGTGTTTATAGAAATTTACAGGGTAGAGTATGTAGTTGGTCAGATCTTAGACAGCAATATATTTAAATTATGTTCTGCTTGTCATCTTTTCTGATTCTGTGCAAATTTTACAGGGTATATATGTATAAAGCTAAAGCATTAGAATTAACTGTGCCCATAACAATGCCAGCACTGTAACAGGCATGGCTATAAAAAGGCGCTCAGCAGACTTCCGCTTGCTGCTCCATATAAAAAATGCATTTGACTTTTCAACAGTTGCAGTTGCCAGCTCGATTACAATTTATGAGCAGCTGCTGCTGCACTTATCGTCGAATATATGTACATATATATAAATGAATATATCTGTATCTATGGCAGATCAGCTTTAGCTTAGGCGCATGACTTGGCAAATCTGTTGCAAAAATCTGCATGATGGTGAAAGCATTATAATCGCATTTTACGTACAAAAAAAAAAAAAAAAAAATTAAAAAAGGAAAATAAAATTGCACAAGTTTTTATTTTTCTCTCTCTGTGGGTGTGTGTGTGTATGTGTGTGATCTGTGTTAGTTTTGGTGGTGGCACCACAAACAGTTTTTCTTTCACTTTCGAGAATGCCACACGCGACTGATCAACAGCAACACCAACAACACCAAAAACTGTTAGCAAGCGCATATTATTGCAACGCTCAATTTAACAAATTTCGAACAGGTGTTTGATGGCTTTGTTGTTGCCACACCGCTAAAACCACAAATATGTGAAAAATTGCATGCATGCAATCATTAAAAATTTTGCATGTTTTACAACTGCCACGCACATGCACACATACACACTCACACTTACAGACATGCACACACCCACCAACTCCGCTGCGCGCTCATTTGCAGCTGGTTTGACGCACTCGTACACACTATTTCGGCCAGCAGTGTCGCCAGCAGCATAGATTTCCATATACGGCTAACTGTGTGTGCGTCGTCATTCCGGCTGCACTTAAGCGTCAGTCAGCGTCGACAGCGACGTCGCCGTTTGCTAAATCTAAATTATGCGCTCCAGAGTGAAAGTAACGGCAACGTTGTCGGCATCGTCGTCGCATTTGCTTCATCATTCCAGACGACGCGACGGCAGCGCAGTTGGCAGCGTCATTCTATGGCGCTCTCTTCCAAGCTCTCCCGCGCGCTCTCTTTCTCCCACTGACTGTGTGCGTAACGCATTGTACTGCTCGCTCTCCCTATCTACTGCCGTCTCACTCCGGCATTGGCGTGCCCTTATGCAATGGCTGGCATGTAATGATTATTGCTTGCAAAACACACACTTCCTCATGCTTAGCTTTAAGCTTTTTGCGCACTTTTATCAGACGCAGCCAATTTACCGTTTATGCAGTCGTGTATTTGTGTATTTATTTATGTATTGTATTTGTTTGTATTAAGCAGCTTGCGCAATAATTAGTTTCGTTACTTTTTGGACTTTCGTTTTCATTTTGATTTCGGCTACCGCTGCGTCTGTCGCTGCCGCTTGTTGTTGTTGGCGTTGTGGGTACTGTTATAGCTTTTGTCACAGTGGGCGTCAAAAATGTTGTTGCTCTCAATATACTATGTATATCTGTATGTGTACATATTTTCGTTTTTATTTTGACGCTCACGCAATTTCAACTGTCCATTGTCAACGGGGCTATGAACCATTTAGTTGTTGCTGTTGTTGTTGCTGCTGGTGCTACTGCTTATTACTGTTTGTTTTTGTTTGTTAAAAAGTTATTGTTTTGAACTTGACATTGAATTTTGGTTTTAATTGCATATTGTTATGATTTATATACATATATATGTATGTATGTGCTTGTGGCGCTAAATGCCTCGAAATTCCCATGCGGAAGCATTAATTAAGCCGCTCCGCAGCTAATTTGTTTAACAGCATATTATTTACAGCCAACACAACACACACACACACGCACATACATATGTATGTGTCTGTTTTCTATACAAAACAGAGTGCAACATGCAACCTGCAGCACCACTGTAATTATGACAAAGCCAGCTAATTGAATTTTATGTTAGTCAAAAGCGAAAAACACAAAAAGACGCAAATTGTGTGAACACTGTCAAACAAAAGAGGAGTTTTTTTTTTAATGAAGCATTTTAATGTCTCGATTTTGGGGGTGGATTTTTTGTAACCATATGAAAAATAAATAAATAAAATTAATTTTTAAGTACAGTAGAGTTTCTTTATAACCATTATCAAATTTTAGAAATTAATTGTTTTATATATCCGTAATATAATACTAGCTCTTAGTATTTTCTGTAGTACTTCTTACATTAAAAGTATTTAGAGAGCTTCGTATTTTCTAGAGTTTGGTTTACCGCAAAATCTGAAATGGGAGAAATTTGTTAAAAATAAATAAAATTAAATCCAAATCCAATTCGCATAGTTCGTGGATTCACGCAGCTTATCGAGCAGGCGCACGCAATGCGTGACCACTGTGCCAGTGGAGGCGGTGGGCGGGTATTAGGGGGCTTGGACTGCAGTTGGCTCGGACTGCAGATAATGTCAGATATTTGGCAGCTGAAGCGTGGCATTATAATTAGCCAAGTTAACAAGCCAAGCATTGCGAGCTGCAGCGAGATGCAACTGCTGCAGCAGCAGATGAGGCTAAATACAGTTACTTTCTCCACTCACTCCACTCATACTCCCCCCTCTCTCTCTCTCTTTGTCTGGGTGTAGGCTCGCGAGGAGCAGGCGCATCTGGAGATGAAGCACCGCAAGGAGGAGGACGATCTGTACCGGAAGTTCGCACGCAAGCGCGAGGAGGAGGACCGCAAGATACAGAGTGAGTTCCAGGACGAGTGGGAGCGCGAGCTGCAGCGGCTGACGCACAAGTTCGAGAAGGAGCTGGCCATCTCGCGGCGCAATCGGGATGAGGCCAACATCCTGACGCTGCGCCACGAGCAGCAGAAGGAGGACCTGGAGAAGAACATGACGCTGCGCCGCAGCAAGAAGAAGGAGAGCATCACGCGCAAGATGCTGGAGCACGAGCGGTACGAGACGGCCGCCCTGGTGGATCGCCAGTCCAGCGAGATGCTGGAGCTGATCAGCGCCCGCCGCTCCGAGTACATGCAGAGCGAGAGCATCTTCCTGGACGACGAGTTCAGCGAGGGCACCGTGCCCATTGAGTACCCGCTGCATGCTCCGGTGCCGGCGCCGCCAGCTGTCAGCAAGTTTCAGATCTACACGGATCCCATTGAGTTCGAGGACGTGGACCGCATCGCCATTTCGGTGGCCCAGGAGGACCAGAAGACCTTCACGGATCTGGTGCGCCAGCTCGTCGGCCGCTGCACCACGGACATCGAGAAGGCGCGCACGATCTTCCGCTGGATCACGGTGAAGAACCTGAATGCCATGCACTTCGACGACGACCTGAGAGGCGACACCCCCATGGGCCTGCTCCGTGGCATCAAATACGGCACCGAGAGCTACCACGTGCTCTTCAAGCGCCTCTGCAGCTACGCCGGCCTCCACTGCGTGGTCATCAAGGGCTACTCGAAGAGTGCCGGCTACCAGCCGGGCGTCAAGTTCCAGGACTCGCGCTTTCGCAACTCCTGGAACGCCGTCTATGTGGCCGGCGCTTGGCGCTTCGTCCAGTGCAATTGGGGCGCACGACATCTGGTCAATGCCAAGGAGGCGCCCAAGCAGGGGCGTGGCAAAAATGATAGCCTACGGTAAGTTGGGTACGGCTGAGCCCATCCAACCCATTTAAACATACCCCTACCTACCACCCCTACTCCCTACTGCCTCTCTCTTTCTCTCTGCCATTCTCCCTAACACAACTGTTCCTCTCTCTTACAGCTATGAGTACGACGATCACTACTTTCTCACGGATCCGCGCGAGTTCATCTACGAATTCTACCCGCTGCAGGAGGAGTGGCAGCTGCTGAAGCGGCCCATAACGTTGCGAGAGTTCGAGAATCTTCCGTTCGTGCGTTCGCTCTTCTTTCGCTACGGCCTGCACTTCGCCGACGAGGGCTACGGCGCCGTTGTGTTCACGGACGATACGGGCGCTGCGACCGTACGGATCGCCATGCCCACGGACATGCAGAGCTGCCTGATCTTTCACTATAACCTCAAGTTCTACGACAGCGACGAGGAGCTCTCCTACGACGGCGTCTCGCTCAAGCGGTTCGTCATGCAGTCCGTCATTGGCAACATTGTGGCGTTCCGTGTGCATGCGCCCTGCTCGGGCGCCTTCCTCCTGGACATCTTTGCCAATGCGGTGACGCCGCAGGAGTACCTAACGGGCGAGCCCATGAAGTTCAAGTCTGTCTGCAAGTTTAAGGTGAACACGGGGAGTTTTGCTTATCTCTACAGGAGTCTAATGTTTGCTTTCGCCTTTCAGATCTGCTGCGAGGAGCTGCAGACGGTAATGGTGCCGCTGCCGGATTGCGCCAGCGGAGAGTGGGGACCCACCAAGGCGACACGCCTCTTTGGCCTGATACCCATAACACATCAGGTGAGTGGACTAGATTTTAGCTATACATATACATATATATGTGCTGTATGTTACTCTGCCTAATCTCTAATCTCTTGCCAGGATCCTCTAATCTTTGCCGGCCGCAGCCTGGACCTGCAGTTCCGCATGTCACGTCCGCTGACCGACTTTATGGCCACACTGCATAAGAATGGCATCGAGGAGAAGAAGCTGGCCAAATACGTGACGCACAGCACGCTGGATGACATTGTCACATTCATCATTAAGTGAGATTGCCTTCGCCTATATCTAGAACTCTCATTTACTTATCTCTCCTCCCACAGCTTTCCCGAGGAAGGTCAATATGGTCTGGATATCTACACACGTGAGCTGGGCGCTCCGCAGCATCTTTACAACAATAATAACAACTCCTCATCCGGCGAGAAGCATCTGCTCACGCATTGCTGTAAATATTTAATAAACTCCTCCAAAAGGAATTGAAACAAGAACGAAATGCAATATTAATTCATAGTCTAAACGTTAAGCAGTTACTAAACTAAACAATATTGATATACGATATATCAAAAATAATTATATATACATATATATAGTTGCATCTATATAGACGAGGGTAGACTGAACAAGAATCAAGTTAGCAAGCTAGATTTTTGTATATTTTTGTTAGCTTACAAAGTGCTTAGACTGCCCTCGTAGAACCTTATATAATATATATATATTTTGCACCACTGTGCAGGTGCTATAATAATACCAATCATCTATATATTATTTATATATATATATCTTGTATATCCTGCTCAACATTTGTTAATCCACACTTGGCTTCATCATATAGATATAGATATATAACATTTATATACATATATGAAATTGAATCGAATTGAAACATGTAAATACTCTAGACTCTAATCATTAGACCTTAAATTATATAGTAATATCTGAGCAATCGCCGTTTTTTGTACTTAATTTACCTTAATTAAAGCCTAATAATTTATTATGAATTGTCTTTAAAACAACTTATATATACATTCACACACATATATATATATATATATATATATAGTTTTGGCCTAAGCGTTCCAATATTTCTCTATATAATATACATACATAAATATATCAACAATCAATTGTAATTAAACACTCTCTGATCAAGTGCAGCAATATAATATAAACATGTTTTTTTGGCATACTAAAAAAATGGATTTTTAATTGAATTAGACTGGAAGGAGTAAAATATGTGCAGTGAAAACTGGCTAAAGTGAATGTGGTTTATAGATTATCTTTCTGAAATGTCAATCAATTCTCTTGTGTTTTTATAAAACCAAAGAAGGCTATACTTCTGCTGAGCATTCATTGTACTTAATTATTAGATCAGATTTTATGCTAGAGAACTGCAAATATTGAATTGTTTGTGCTGCATTCAGAAATTGTGTTTACTGAGAGTTCACTGTACCATTCACTTTTCAAAGACCTCCCAGTTAGCAGTGAATTGAGTCCGCTTCTGCAAATACATATCAAGAGCTCCTTCCAATTGTAAATAGTCCTTGTGGCAGTTTACTCAACGACTTCATCCAGGCAGCAGTATATTCTATAATCCCCATTTGATCGCCTGTACCAAATACACCTCCCAAATCCACCCCATATTCAATAAAAAGTCAATTTTTTCAATAACGAACGATAACCATTAACGCATTTAATGAACAAGTAACTCAGAACTCAACAACAGGGGATTGTTCTCCAAGATTGCAGCTGTCAAACAAGGGAAGGTGACAGACTGAACGTAACTCCGAACGCCGCGCATGTTCACTTTCTGTAAAATTTGGTAAAAACTCAAATTAAAAACTTGTAAAAAACAAAAATAATAATAAAATAAAATAAATAATTGGGGAGAGAATACTAAAACGCATTTATTTCGATAATGGAAGAAGTAGTTCATGATTTGTATGTATTGTGAATAGTGGGCTGTGTATGCCTAGACGGGTAGAAACCCGTGAGGTACTATTGGAGTCAGAGTTCGACAACATCATCATCGGATGCCAGATCGATGCAGAGTGGCGACTCAGCTGCCACTGCGGTGCAAGCGGGATCCGGCTTGATATCAGTCATTGAACTCGGATTTTCTTCCACGTCGGTTTCTGCTGGCTTAGCTTTCGGATTTCGGTTGCCACAATTGGCCGACGCTTTCGGGTTGCGGGGCGGGGACTTATCCCCGAACTTCTTCCTCAGTCCATGCACCACCACCTTGCCATATCGATAATAGAGCGAGTAACCATTGGCCGCAATACTTGAAGCGCTCTCCGGGTCGATGCTGATGACGAGGAGTGCACCACCGGCCTCATCCTTGCGCGAGATCAACTTCCACAGGTGTGTCTTGTACTGGTTCTGTGACTTGAGCAGAGCAAAGATAAATTCATCGGTTTTGCCAGCGGTCCGCGCCAGGAAGACCGTCACATAGAAGTGCTTGGGCTTCTCTACATGTGCATGGCCCTGCTTAGGGATCACAGGATGTCCATGGTAGGAGTAGAGATGAGCACCTCTGCTCATTAGCCAGTCCGCGGAGACGCGATCAGAGCAGGTCACCTTAAGGTAAGCGTTCTTGAAACGAATTCGCGAGAAGCGCAACGGAGCTGACGAGCTGAAGCCAGCTGTGACCACCTCTTGGAGTATGGCCTCCTCCAGATCCACCTTGTCCTTCTGGCTGAGCTTCGCCTGCGGATAGCCCACGGGCAACAGGCAGACATGCAATTGGTCGTCTTTGGCTTGATTTTGCTCTTTTGAGGTGTCGTGCACTCTATTGTGGTCGGAATCCTCTACCAGATCTTCTTCTGAGGGCTTCTGCCAGTTGGGCATCTGCTGCGGCGGGGCAAGCGAATCGGGCCCGCTTAAGTAATTTGCTGCCGGCTGCTTTGGCTCTTTAGCCATGCGAAAGGCCTCGTCGGCCGGGAAGCCTTTCTCTAGATACCGCATATACCACTTGGTACGTGAGCCGCTCAGGACTCTCCGATTCGGATCATCCCGAGCGCCGGGCTGTCCGAGTGGAGGCAAATTGGCCTCCCATTTTTTGCGAGGCTTCCTCCAGTCGCGACCATTACCATTCATGTTCAATTCTGGCCTAATGGTCGAGTCTTGCCATTCGACTGGATTGCCAGGGCCAAACCTAGGACCCGGGTCCGGGCTTGCATCTCGTTCAAATGGGGGCGAATTACGACCCCCAGCACGCCATGGACTATGTTCCCGCGGATAAGTGGGAGACATATCGCGACTGCCGCGTATTGGGCTGCGACTACGCCGTCCAGCTTCATTAAACTCTCTGCCTTGCGGACTGCGACTGCGCTGCCAGCGATACGATTCCGGATAGCGAGTGGACTGAAAGCCCGAATCTCGCTCGGGATTTCTCATTGATTGCTGATAATCGAACTCTCGCTCCGAATGGCAATTCAGTCCGCGCTCCGGACTGCGCTGATATCCGAACTGTCTGCCCGGATTCCGACTCATTTGAAAGTCTGACTCACTCAGCGGAGTACAAAGATTTCGACGATAGCCCGCTGACGGTTCTCGCTCTCGACTGCGATCACGACTGAGCTGGCCTTGCTGATGATAGCCCGAACCAGCTCCTCTCTCCGGACTGTGATTGAACTGCGCTCCGTCCGGACTGCGATTGAAGCGCCGTACATTGCCTTGTGGCCCGTCCATGGGACCACGACTGAACTGTTCCTGTCGGAACTGTGGCTCTCTAGCCGGCAGGGTGTCCGACCCGTAGGCCAAACTGTGGGGCATGCCCTGCTCCATGCCATTATCCCCACGATCTTCATAGAACATGCCAGATTGTTGCTGCTGTTGTTCGTTCTGCCACTGTGGCATGTTCTGCATATTCCTTCCGGAATGGTAACCCGCATTAAAGCGTTGCGGCATTTGATTTTGATTTGGTTTTTTGTTTTTATTGTAGTTAAATTTTCGATTCATCTTGTTTTGATTCCCACGAGCTGCGGAGATATACAAACGGTCCGCCCGGGCAGAGATCCGCGTTACCCGGGTAAGGCCGAACATAGAACAGGCGTTGGCCAAGTGCCTGAGCTCGCCGTTCGCGACTGAAATATTTGTTAACCCGGGCCTTCAGCCTGGCCGACCATTGGCACGGTTCGAATGACACCTTAGTCCGGCCCGGAACGAGTGTGTGGGGCTATGCTTTGACAGGCGGCCCCACAAGCGCCTGGTCGATAAGGCGCCTGTTGAGACAGCCGCCTTATCCGCTGGCTGTCCGGGGCTGCTTATTGGGCGGCGAGACGCTCGCTGCTTATTCGCAGCTAACCTGCCACCTGGTGGCAGGCCGTTCGCTATCCGCAACCTGCGACCCGTCCGGTGGCCTCCAGCTAGGCCTCCTGGCGGAGAGAGTTCGACTCCCACCGCCAGGCCCGGAAAAAATATCCATTTCAAGTTTCGTTCTTTATTGTATACTTTATTTGTTCATGCTTCTTAATCATATAAATATATGTATTGTATATGTATATAGAGAATTTCTAGGGGGCGAGCTTTTTTGGGGCACATTTCTTTATATATATGTAGCGGGGGGCGGGTGGAAGGTTTTTGTAGAATTTACTTAAACTTAGCAAAGAAATATTATAGTATAATTTTACTCTCTAGATATTGGGGACAATCCTTAATCAGTTGCATTTTTTATTTTATATTTTTAGTAAGTTTTTTGTTTTATGTTTTTAAGTTAAATGTGAACGCAGCTTTTGCACTTCCATGGCTACTTCGCTATATGCTTATGTTTGTTGTTGTTGTTGTTGTTGTTGTTGCAGTCCACTTAAATGTTTCGCCTTCCATTTTCATGCACGCTGCAAAGTGAGCGATGATTGGAGAGAGACAAAACGGGAGAGAGAGAAAAGCAGAGTTGCAATGAGATCATTATCAATAAAATTGTATTTCTGGGCGTGTTATATTGAGGGAAGTTCTATAATGTGCGGGTACAGTGAAAACTCGATTGAGGAACAACTAGTAAATTAGTTATAAAATAAATGATTTGCCAATAACTTTAAAGCCTAAACGAGCCTTCACATATTAAATATTTATATTTTTAATCTAATTTACTTAAAATCTATATCAATTCTAATGCATTAGCAAATAACATTGATTAATAAGCATATTATTGTTCAACTCAAGCAAGTTTTCACTGTAAATGTCAATGTCAATGATTTGTGTATGTGTGTGTTGTGTGTGTATGTGTGTGGGATTGATTATGAATGAACACGACATTTAGTATTATTTAGTTTAGTTAGTTGTGGCACCACCGTTAACGAGATTTGAAATGAAGAGCTCAATGCGAGCCATAAGAAGACAAGGGATTTATTGTTATTAGCAGAGACCAAACAACAAAATCACTAGTCTTCCATACGGCAAGCACTCGATACGACGAACGGTTAGGTTTGTTAATGATGCAAAGCACTTGAGTAAACGAAACTGATATGATTATAGGTGTGTCTCTGTGTGTGTTTCTGTACGTGTGTGTGTCGGTGTGTGTGTGTGTCTGTATGGGTCTTCAGTTAGCTCGATATGAAAGGAGGAGTTGTGGTGCATACTTTTAGTCTGTTTGCGACACCAACCTCTGTTGCAGCAGATACTGTGCCATCTGTATTTGCTTGGGCGTGCCCGAGATGGTAATGATGCGATCATTCGAGCCGGGCAGCGGCTCGTCTATGGTAATATAGGCGCTCGACTCGTTCCGGATTCGTCGTATGCGACCGCCTCCCTTGCCGATGATAGCGCCAGCCAGCTGGAAGAGGAAGACAGGCAGAAAGTTAAAAAAAATTCAGTTAAATCTCTAATCCAGATAACACGTACATCCTTGGGTATGGTGACCTGTGTGCTGTTATTCGGATCGTGTCCCTGCGGTATGTTCGTCGGGGCATTGGCGCTGTTGTTGGAGCCCGCATTGCCGCCGACGCCCGCATTGAAGCCACCAGCGCCGTTGTTAGCACCCAGTCCACCCACGCCGCCATTGTTGACAGTGCCCAGGCCATTGACCAGGCTGTTGTTGCCGCCGGCACCGAAGCCAGCGCCCAGGCCGTTGCCCAGACTGTTGTTGCCCGCACCGAAACCAGCGCCGCCGCTGTTGCTGCCTTGGCTCTGGCCAAAGTTGCCCAGGCTGGGCAGATTGCTGCTGCCGCCGCCACCTCCGCCGCCGCCCAGCTGGTTGCCGCCGCCGAAGTCGTTCGGGCCGTTGCCGAAGTTGTTGCCGAAGTTATTGCCAAAGTTGCCGCCGCCGAAGTTGTTGCCGCCGAAGCCGCCGCCATTGTTGCCCACGCCGAAGCCATCGGCATCGCCGCCGCCGCCGCCGTTGGCCCAGGGATTGATGAAGGGATTGTCGCGGGGTCCGCCCATGCCGCCGAGCCCGGAGACGCCGTTACCACCAGCACCACCGCCGCCTCCTCCGCCACCGCCGCGGCCACCACCACCGAAGCGATCATTGCCACCGCGGCCGCCATTGCCGCCACCACCGCCGAATCCTCCTCCACCACCGCCACCACCAGCACCGCCGCCGCCACCACCGCGATTGCCACCACGCTGGCTGGGCCGTGTGCTGCCGGTGCCGGTGCCATAGCCGCCGTACTCGTCCGCATAGACGCGATCGAAGTTCATCGGATCATAGTTGTGTATCGGCCCCTTAATGGGCGTGTCACGGGTCAAGGTGATCACCTCTCGCACCGCCTCGATGACCTGGCTCTGCTTGCCCACCGTCTGCACCACGCGATCTGTGCTCTGCGGCGCCACATTCGAGAAGACCTTCAGAAAACGGCAACCAATGCGCTGCAGGGAGAAGAGAAAAGAGAAGAGTTAGCTAAGTACAGTGTGCACAGAATAGCGCGAACAGATAAATACATTATATACAACTGCTTATACTATAGAGAAATCCGTATTGCAAATAGCTAGAGCTGAATGATGAATTAAGATTATCTATAGGATGACTAAAAGATATCCTGTTGCTCATAGTTAGAGACGAATCCATTTAAAATTGATAGGATCATTTATAGGATAAGAAAGCTAAGATAGAAATAATTAGATTCTATATATAAATATACTTTAGAATATTATCAACTGCCCAACTGTTGTTTATTTTTAGCTAAGCAGATACAGCTCGCCTCTTCCTATCTACTCCTCATGGAGTATATATGTAGGACAACTACTATCTGATAATTATTTTCGCTTGGTTTCATTTGTAGAGCAATTCTTACGCTTCAGCATTTCAAACAGGATAAAAACACACACACACACGCACACAGAGTCCTTTCAGCCACTCAAAATGGCCGACAATGGCTGGAGTTGCCTGGCCAACTCGTCGCACAAACAGCCTCTCATTCAAAAGCAGCTGCCGCTGCTTCACAGTTCAAATCAATTTTGGCCATGACACTGACCCAAACCTCCTGCGTCGCTGCTCGACAACCGACAACCGACACCGACACCGACATGGCAAGGGAAGCCAAGCCACTGCGGCTTATGACACGGCCCTATCAACAGGCTTAAACCGACAACAAAGGCCTCTCTTTATCCATGATCCGCTATGCTCTGCTCGGCTCACTCTGACAGCTGCTGCTGCTGCTGCTGATGTGTGCAGGATGTGCAGGCACTTCAGCATATTTGCGCTACCTGCTTGGCTCCCAAGTTGCTGCACCGGAAGTTGTTTGCTGTCCCCTACCCCACACTCATACACACACACGCACAGAGCTACCCCAGCTCCTCCACATCCTTGATAGTCTCTCTCTCTGTCGTCTGTCGTCTGCAGCGGAAGTGTAAATGTGAAATTCGATAGGCACTTAGAGCAATGCAGGCCCTAAGTGTTTGTTGCTCTGTGTGTGTGTGTGTGTGCGTGTGTGATAGGGTCGCAGATTTTATGCCTACGTGCATTGGAGCCTGCTTCCGTTTCCTTTATGTGACCCCTGCTGCTGCTGCTGCTGCTGTTGCTGCCACCCCTGCCATTACTATTCCCCCTTCAGCTCGCAGCTGCGTGTTTTGGTGTCCTGCCTTGATGATTGCATCATTTCCAAAGCCCAAATTGCGTGCTACTCCATGCTTAACTATGTCTCTATGTGTGTGTGTGTGCGAATGACCAAAGGCTGCGTCATGCCTAACACACACAAACACTTATACAGTCCGCTGCTCCCTTGGCGACAACTCGTTGCGTGTGACCCCCAGACAACAATGGCGACACATCAAAAACTAAAAAGAAATGTATAAAAACGCTGCTGAAGTGCCCCCACGTTCAGCCTTATGAATGGCAGGCGCAAAATGTTGAGTCACACACACACACACACACGTACATATACTCTGTGTGTATGTGTGTGTGCGTTGCTTTTTAGCTTTTATGTCACGATGCACAGGACACATCAAAAGGCAACGTGCGGGCGACTGGACGCTTATTGAATTTATTATTTAATTTAAAACACAACAATAAGACAAAGCGTGCGAGCGAGCGAGCGAGAGCAGAGCATAGCGAGTGAGAGCAAGCTGTGACACACATACACATGCATATGCATACACAGACGAAAGGCGAGCGAGCGCACAAAAAAAGCGTAGCATACTTTTTAGTGGCATACAAAAATGTACGAAACTGTGCGAAGCAGCAATTGGCAATACGTAGATGTGTGTATGTGTGCGTTCAGGCATGCCAGCACACACGCACACTAGCACGCACATCTCTCTATACACACACCACACTTTACTTTATATATATTTGTCACTTTTTTCTTTAGTTTTGTTGAGTTGTTTATATTTTGTACCTCTGCCCATATTTTTGTTTATCAACTACTGTGCACTGTGTATATACACCAAAGGTGCATATAGAAATGCGAGGCACTGTTGAAGCAGCACCAGCAGCGCGTAGTACCGTGCGCGACCAGCGCCAATGTCGAACTAATTGGGTTCAACGAATGCTAGTTGCCATGTAAAGCAGAAGACGCAGCCAGCCAGCAGCGAAGAGAGCAGCAGAGCAGAGCAGCGGGCAGAGCAGAGCAGAATAGTGAGAGAGCGAGAGAGCACAGTTATGTGTAGAAATAAGAAGAGAGCCCACAGCAGGCAGACCAAGCCAGCTAGGCAAGCCAGGCAGCATGTGCGCTCTTCTTTAGGCTTCTTCTTCTCGCTGTTGTTGGTAGAGTCCTGGCTATAGGCAGTCGAGTCAGTCAGACGGCTTAAAGGATACGGCTGCTGGCTCTGGCTCTGCCACTGCCACTGCCGCTGCTGAGGCGCAGCTGCTGTCGGAACCGGTGTATTATTCAGCTTCTTTTGCTCGCCTTGCCTTCCCTTTTTTTCCTTTGCTCTCAGCATGTGCGTGCGTGTGTGTGTGTATTGAGGCCTGCGCAGTAGCTGTGCCGCAGTAAACTAGGCACACGCACACACACACACACACACGCACTAGTTCTCTCCTATGCCTTTAGATGTAGCCATGGCAAATGGAACGCAATCATTGCTGCCATCTACTTATTAATTTTTACTTCTTTTACTTTAGCTACTTTTACCTTCTATTTCAGCCTCTTGCTCTTCCTTCATATTCTTCTTCATGTTGACTTTCTAAGCGGATTTTTATGCAAAAAAATACTATTTGCAAGGCAGCTGCAGCTTCTTCAAGTGCTTCTCTAATATCCTTAAAGCAGCTGCAGCTACAGCTTGGCAACACTTGGCACGTGTGTGTCTGTGCCTGTGCCTGTGTGTGTGTGTGGTTATGTATGTGGTTACTCTGTATGTATGCCTGTGGCACCAATAATGTTCGTAATGCAAGCAGCTTGTTTGTAATTGAGTTTTTGCGCTTGCTTTCCAAGAGTCGTCCAAAAAAACAAAAATTAGTGAAACTTCACGACTAGAAAATACCCTCAAAACCCAAATCAATCCGAGTAAGATATATGAATATTTAGTTTTTTCTTAATCTAAAGAGATTTCTATATACCTAAAACGAATTTCTCTATGCGAGTACACATATTTTGAGTCTATATACTATCGAAACTCTCCAGATGACCCAGATAACTATTTTTGCACAGCGAGCATATATATGTCTCTCTCTTTCTGGTGATTCTACTGTTGCATATACACACACTGAATCATTATACCCAATTCACATTACTTTGCTACGGCGTTCGGGGCATTAAAATCCAAAACAGCAGCTGCAATTAGAAAACTTTTTGGCCCCCACAAATAACAGCAGCTGGATGATGCCAAGATGGGAGCAGAAGCAGGAGCAGGAGCTGTGGCAGCAGGGGGATTAAGGGCAAGAGCAACAGCAAATGAGCTGTCAAACTGAACAGAGGCAAAGATTGAGGCTGCGTTTGAGTCGCAGGCTGGGGCCGCACTTAAAACAAAGCGGAAGCAGCTCAACAACATTTAAGTTGATGCCACATACAGGAGCGATAACTGAACCGGATATTGACAGGATTTACAATGCGCGACATGTAAAGCGAGCGAGAGAGTAAGTGAGTGAGTGAGTGTGTGCGTGTGAGAGAGAGAGAGACAGAGAGCGAGGCATTCATCAATAAAAGATAGCGAGCGGGGGCGTGGCATACGGCTGTCAGCAGCAGCATGCATGTGCCATAGCTGAAGTTTCATAAGCTTATTCATCAATTGATAAAGTTTTATAGGCACTAAAAGCTGTTAAGAGTGGCCTAGTTTTAAGGTAATAGACTGATAGATACCCCGTGAATAGGCCAAGGCTCCCAGCTTGGCTGTATGTGAAAGAAAGATGCTTGCTTAAAACAAGTTTAAAAGCTCAAAATATTTCCAGCTACATTTCAATTCATATATCGGATCAGAGTTATATATAGACAATACATGAATATAATTATATATTTATGTAAACTAAAATTAGAACAAAATCTAATTGCTAAACTTTTAAATTGTGTAACTTGGGTTTCATTTCTCTATGATCAAAGAAAAATTGTCTTAGTTGTGAATGCTGATCAGGACTGCATATACATATATATAAAACTGACGTATATATATATTTAAACATACTAGAAGCATTCTTAGCCATGCGTAGAGAGTAGTACATGCCAGTCGCATAACAATTCAAGCAGCTTGTAACGAAATGCCAAGGAGCAGATGCCGATGCATGAAGTCGAATGTCTTCAGCTGCCACAGCGCGTATGTGTGTGTGTGTGTCTGTGCGTATGTAACACCTGTTAGGCATTCATTAAGAGCTGACACACACACTCACACACACGGCATAGCGACGACAACAACAAAGGCTACGAGGCAACTTCGTCCTAAGCGCAGCAACAATTGTGAGCCGCAGGCAACCAGCAGCGAGCGGCGAGGGTGAGGGTGAGGATGAGGATGAGGGCGAGGGCCGGGCAGAGGGACTAACAAAAGCCATTGGCACGCTGCTCAATTTTGAATGCCTCAATAGATGGATTTAGTAGATGGATCAGAGAAAGAGACAGACCGAGAGAGTGAGAGGAGAGGGGGAATGAGAGCGAGCGAGACTAAGCAACGGCAGCTGCCGTCGCTGTTGTAGCTGCTGCTCATTATTAGGGCGCGACAGCAGATGCCGTTTGAAGTAAAAACCATCAGATGGCACAGGACAACAATTTTTAATGGGCAACAGCTTGAGTACATTTGAAAAGTGAACAGAGTATACCTATGGATATATATAAGAATATGTATAGAAGGCGAGAGCCAGACACATGTTGGGAGCAACGTTGACGTGACAAATTTGGCGCCCAAAAGGAAAATGTCACAAGCAGCCAAGCAGGACGAAAAAGGAAACATGTGCGAGAAATTCCAGGAAATATGACAAGGTTTATTTATTTTTCTGAATGTTATATAACCAAATTGTTATATATAAACAAGAAATCTAATACCTAAGCTATTCCTTTATTATATTAAGTTCATTCAAGAAATCAGTTTCAGAATCCTTTAGCTTTATAATATATGACATGTATTATAAATATAATGTATAATGATATCATGAGCAACTGGAATTGGAATTAAATGCATGTTACAATAAGGCGAAATTTGAAAAAATTTATTGAATTCATTCTCTACAAGGATCTGTCTATAATGGGAATTTTCCAGTCTTTCAGTTTCTTCGAATTCCCATTGCTCTATCTGAGATAAAACCAAAACTATTTTATACACAATCTTATTGAAATTATGGTATGAATTGCATTCCAGTCTCAACTTAATTAGGCCCATAGCAACAATCTTCAAACTTTATACAAAATGTTATCCTTAGCTGATTCAAAGACAACCTTATTATAACCTTTTGCCAAGGGCAAACTAAATGAGTGCAAAAATAAAAAAAATAAAATAAAAAAAAAAATAACCGGCTGCGAAAGCCAAAAACAAAAAGTCAGAATGGGAACCAACAAGCAAAAAGAGAAACAAAGAGCAACACGCAAAACGAAAACAAGGTAAAGAAGCAAAGCTGATAGAAGGATAAGCAGGGAGAATGCAAAATGCCTTTTGAAAGAAACTGAAACAGCTGCTGGCTGGGCCAAGACAATGGACCAAACGAGCGACGAAAAGATGAAAGATGCGACGCACAACAAAAAAATAAATAAAACTGAAACACATGCTGAGACACAGACAGGACCTAAGACAGAGACAGAGACAGAGAGACAGGGAGAGAGGCTGCTCCACTGTTGATCGTCACAACGCTGACACAACAGCTGAATGGGCGATGGCAGCTGCAAAGGATGTGCCGCCAGGATGCGAGACAGCGCCCCTGCTTGAAGAATGCTGCCAGCCAGTCAGCCAACCAACCAGCCAGCCAGCCGGATGATGATGCCAAACAATTTTCACATTGCAGCAGCAGGCCAAGAAATTCCAAAGAAATATTATGAAAGAAAAAACATGAAGTGAAAACGTTTTCACAGTTGCTGCAGAAACGTTACAGCACGCAGGACGAACAGCCATGTCCTTTGTGTTGCTTTTGGACTTGTTGACCTCCATGGCGCAAGCAGCAAATGGACAAAAAGAATATGAAATCTAACAAGGCACAAATACCCTGTGAAAAGTCGTAAGCTAAGGAGGATTCATAGGAAATGAAGGCGAAGATTTGAATGTGATTCAATATGAAGTCTTGGAGATAATTTTTTTTTTTATAATTTATGATTCTGCTGATCAGATATCTATACATATTTATCCCTGAATGATATGGATATGAAAATAAAAGCTAACGGAACTTATTTAAATATTAAGTGAAGTAGGAATTAAGAGTTCCAAACAATCCTAGAAAAAATTGTGTTATTTTCTTTCAAGGATAACAAACTGAATAACAAATTTATCTGCTGAGATATATTTATTTATCTACACAGAGCGCCAAGATATATCAAAATGGAGTTATCTTCTACATTTAATATTCCTCACAATGCTTAGACCTCTTCCACTTGGCAGCCAGGGTATAATATGAATATGCATAAATAAGGCAGCAGAAGGCAGGCCAACACCAACCAACACACACACACACACACACATACAACTCACATAAGCAAATGCGACAGGGCAGACATATTTTTTGCGTGCGCTCAAAAGTATGCAATAATAAATTCACGCGCGCGCCTTTGTGCGCCCCAAATGGACACTTGGACGGACGGACGGACGGCTAACAGTCAACGAGCAAGACGAACGATAAAAATATATGTAATATATATGTTGTATATATTATATACATATATATATATGAATGCGCTGGACAGCCGCTGTGCACAGCGAGATGGAGGAGGACGAGGGAAAGGGAGAGGGGGCGGGTCGGCAACAAAACAAAGACATTCCAATTAAAATGCAGCCACTTGGCAGCAACTACTCATTGTTAATTAATGAAAAACAGCCAACGCACATTTAATGCGAAAGTCAGAAAGAGAGGGCGAGACGCATAGGAGAGTGAATAAGGGAAATGGCAACAAATTAGGGTTATGTTAGCCAGTAAGCAGCCAGCAGATACCCTCTGACTTGAACAGGAGATGTACTAGAAGAGGATAGCTATCGATAGCAAGTGATTTATTAAATAAAGTTTTTGTGTATTTATAACTTAAAAATTGGATCACATAGAACAGAGGTTTATGCACAAATAGATCAGCTTTATATGTACATCAGATCTTATGTAATTGAACCTTTCGCCTCCTGTCGACTAAGCCCCACATTAAGCCTTTTGCAACAAATGAAGAGTATAAAAAAAAATATCGAAGTAGTCAATTGATTGCGATACCTGAGCGCACCCGCTGCGAATTCTGTGCATGTGCATGTGTGTGTGTGTGTATGATACAATTGCGCAATTGAATAGAGCTTGACATGTGACACACACACACACACACACACATACATACACATACACGCATTGCGTTGCCAGGTTTCCTTGCAAATTGAATCGCGTTGGTAATAGCGACAATTGCGTTATGCAAGAGCTGAAACGAACAACCGTTCACAGCAGGAGCAGATCCTGCACATGCCACGAGTGTGTGCGTGTGTGTGTGTGTGGTAGTGTAGCTGTTATGCGCGGCTGCTGCTGGTGCTGACGCTGCTATTGACAGTTGAAGAGCGGCAACTATTGATTGCCTGCAACGGAATGTGGCACTTAACGTGCCCGCTGAAGCCCGTCGTAAAAAATAAAGGACTCAAACCCCCAAATAACAGGACAACCGCAGGAAACTATAATTAGGCTTGTCACAAAGGCTATTAGCTGCATGCAAGGGCAGCTATAGATATATAGATATAGTATATGGCATATAATACATATATATGTATTTATATATATATATATAAAGTATATAGTTATGGACTCACATCGCGTATCTCCTTGATCTTTTGGCCACCCTTGCCTATGACACAACCGGCCAAACTTTGATGAATTAGCAAGCGCACATCGTATTCCTCGTCGCGCTAAAAGAAATAGAGTGGGATTAATGCCTGTATCATATTACATTAACGGTCGGTGTACACTCACCTCTTCAAAGTATTTCAGCATTTCTGTTATAATCTCCAGCGTGGAGTCGATATCCGTGGAGATTTGTATGGTGCTGTTTAAAGTGCAGGATGAAAAATTGTTGGTTTTTGTTTGGAGAGAGAAAAGTAGAGAACAGAGAGATAGAAAGAGGGAGAGAAATGTAAAGTTTATAGGAACATATTAAAAACACATTGCAACATACAAAAACTCAACTTAAACACTAGACCTTACAAAAAAAAAAAATATATATGTATTTATAGATTTACGACTAAGGATTATACAATATTTTAAACGAGGGCTGCCCTTCAGTATTTGATTGAATGCGGTTCAAACAATAAGTCGAATTTTGTAGAACTATTTTGTATTTTATTTTATTAATAATGAAAACCGAATCAAATACTCGAAAGTTTTGCAATGCTATAAGTAGTTTTTAGTAACTTTGAAGTTCTGTTATTCCCTAACTTTGTGTGGAATATTTGAATAACTGACGTAACTGTTTTCTGTAGTTCTCTTGTAATCCCATATTCAAAAATTATCAGTTAGTATTAATGTAAGTAATTTCTTTTAAAAGGCAACCCCCGTCTTTAACAACTTATGATACATATATATGTATATAGAGAGAGAAAGAGATATACGACCTGAACTGCTGTGAATCTTTTTTGTTGTACCTACGCACACACACTCACATTCGCACTCACTCATACTTCTTTTTTGTGAACACATCCACACACATATTTAGAAGGACACACAAGACGCTTGCTGGGCGGGCGAGGAGGTATATGGGCAAAAAAAAAATAATAATAAAAGACAAATATAGTAAATTTTGTTTCTGGGCTGGGTTCGGTTTGGACGTAACGCTTGGTTGGTGTTAGTATTACGTGAATATATAGCGAGCTCGAGAGATTATTTTATCATATGAAGTTAATTGCCGTGCTGTGATTAGTAGCAAGAGATATTATTAAAATGCTTTTGCTGGAGTTAAATGTAATTCAAAACTCGGGATATTTATATATATGCACATATGAGACGATCACACCTAAGGACACTAGCATATACAACAACTTACGGAGCAAGAGCGAGACAGAGAGCGAGAGAGATAGAGTGAGAAAGAGAGAAATAACGAGCGAGCGAGCGAGCAAGAGACACGCGTCCAGCAGGTACAAGTGTGTTCTTTTCAAACAGGATTATTCTAGATACATTATCAAACAAATACTATGCATACATTATAAAGTTCTGAAATAGTCCTAACTAAAGGCTAAGCATGTGGTACAAATTACATTCTTAATGGTTCACTGTAAGAGATTATTTTCATTTTTTGGTAAGCTTATTTATGATGAAATATTTGGTAAAGATTTTTTGTTTTTGTTTTGTTTTTAAAGATTTGAAGATTTGTGGTTTACCGTTCGGGGCCTTGGGAATCGTCCACAGACACAGTGGCTTTATACTGTGCATTTACATTTGATGGTTGGACAACAGACGGGCAGACGGGCGGGCAGTTGGTCGGTCGGATCGGGCGGGCGGGCGATTGAGCGGGCGGTCGGTCGATAGATATTTATTTTATTATTATATATATATTTTTTTCGATTAACGATCAGTTGATTCGGTTGGCCGCATAAATATTGTATATATATTTGTGATTTTGTTGTTGTTGTGTGTATATATATTACGATGCATTGTTGTTGTGGGGCACAAAGAGAGAAATAGATAGATAGAGAGAGATATATATACACCCACACACACACACAACAATAAAGGGAACGTTGGTTGGGCCCCAAGCATGGATAAACATTTGTTATACCAGATTTATAAATATATATACGTTTCATATATATATGTTGAGATTTTGTACAGATATTATGATATTATATTGGTGCATCATTTTTTTGGCATCAGTTATCGATTATCGATTATAGTCATATTTTTTATTACGTAAGATTTGTTGATGCGCAAGGCCATCAGTTGGGCATTGATTAATTATTTATTGTTGATCGATATACACACATATCGATGCACGATTGTTTTTGTTTTGGTTCATTTTGGCATCATCAGGCCGGGCCAGTTTACAGAGTTTTGTTTACAGAGCAGTGGCAGGTGACGAAGCGAGGAGACGACCCAGACCCAGACCCGGGGTTGAGGGGTAAGACGCCAGTTATATGAGTTTACATATATATATATATGTATATATATATTATATACACATATATACATACATATATATGCGGGACAGACCAGAGCGAGCGAGCGAGCGAGTAGGCGGGTCGATCGATCAATCGATCACAGTTGATCGATAATTTTGGATGATTGTAATTTATTTGGTCGTTTTACAAGATTCGATTTGGTTTTATATTTATTTTTTGGGTCGTACGTAAGAAGTAGAGAGAAGAAGAAGAGAGAGAGAGAAAATTGTTCATTTAGTTAAAAAGGTTAAAAGCGTGTAAATTATTTGTATAATATATTTTCTTTTATATATTGAATTATACAACAAAAAAGTGGCAAATGTTTTTTCGTATGATTTGTTTTGTTTTTCTTTTTTTTTTTTTTTTCATTTGTTGGTAAATAAAGCGCCTAAATATTATAATTTATGAAAGACTTTTGAGACTTGGGTCACAGGCGAGAGACAGACAGAGACAGAGACATAGAGAAAGAGAAAGACAGCGAGAGAGAGATTGAGTGAGAGACTGTTAGCTGAGTGCGGGCAGCTGAGAGAGAAAGAGAGAGAGATAGGAGTGAGTGAGGGAGAGTTAGTTAAAGGCGTGTCGTTTAAGCTTTGATTATTAGAGAGTTGAAGGAAAAAACTCACACGCTGAAGGGGACTGAGAATAAGAGACGGGTACTACTTGGACATTATGGATTTATATACATGTATATAATGCGGTATATATATACATATACAGAAGAGTAGAGCTTGAGAGAGTCGAAGAGTATAGGAGCGACACACAAAAGAGAGACGGAATTTTGGAATTTGCTTTGCTTTCTCTTAAACTTTGGGATTTAATTTTTGTTTTCCTTTTTTTTTTTGGTAAACGCGTAGTGAAATAAATAATTAATAAATAATACTAGACGCTTCAAATGTATTGTTTGTTGTTGTTTTTTCTTTCATATATATAAGTTTAGGTTTATGTGAGATCAGTTTGGTTTTATAGTACCTGAGTGCGCATCTTTTGTATGTGTTGGCCTCCTTTGCCAATGACAGCGCCCGCAATCTGCAAATGTGATTCAAAAGAGAACATGTAGAATATACCATATAAGAGTATTCAAGGCCTCTACTTACACTGCTTGGTATCAATATTCGCACCGTTTCCTCATTGCGTCTGTTGCGCTTTTGGTCCTGTGGTCCATCTCCATCATTGCTTTCGCGCTTCATTTTCATGCTCCCTGTAAAATAAATCAAAGATCAAAACAAACATTATAAATACGGCTCAAACTCTGCGCTACAGATTACACATACGCCGCTTGCGCCCGCTCATAGTTAACTGAGCGAACGTACGAGCCATTTGGCTTCAAGCGACAAGTCTGTAAAAACTTTTAGCTGATTCAAATATTTTCTCAAGTCGCACACATGAATACTCTAAACTTTGCATATATACTCTAGATTTCTATAGTCTAATTGCATAGGCTTATAATACATGCGTATATATATTAGTTAAATCTGCTCCTTCTTATAATCTTTAGAGTTTTTCTTGTGCTTTCGCATGCATATAAACTATTTCAACTAAAAATTGCACTATAATATAAAGATACACTCTTTACTCCACATACCTCTTAAGTATAAATAGTACAACAAATCCAAGAATTGTTTCAATAAATTAAATTTTATGAAAAACATGAAAATAAGAAACTTTTGCAACCGACTCGAATGAACTAATTGTCAGAATTGACAGCAGGCCTGTATTTTACTAGACTCACTGACATACAGTGTTGTCTAACGCAATCAGTAAAGTAATTAAAAATGAAACAAAATATAGGGTTGCTGAGTTATTTTTTATAATTTCAGTGTTGCGCAACATTGCACAGAAATATAACAGTGTTGTATAGGGTAATAAATGAATGCTGAACTCGAAATGATGAGTATTTCTAAGGCTTCAACTCTAAGCTGCAACTTCTCATGTTTACCAACACTGTTAAAATATTAAATCTTATATCTTATATTAGTCTTTAAAGGTTACAAAACGCTTGTCGCAGTCTTCAAGCCCCATAGTTAATTCAGCTAAAATAACAATGACTCAAAATGAGGCAGCGCACATTGTGGGTTGGAATTTGTGAGTTTGCCAAGCGCAATTAAACAAAAATTCAATTTGCCTCATATCGAATACAGTCGAAGTTGAATGAGATTCGCCGACTGAGTTGAAGCCGACTGACTGTTCATATATAGTATATAAATATATATTTGCTATTTGTGTTGGTGTTTTGTAGAATCGTGCAGCTGCCAGCGAATGCATTTGAGAAAAGGCGTTCAAGGCTTTGAAGACTGCGTCTAGATTTTAGCAAGCTATATCTATTTATCTGGGCAGCTATCTATATATGTATTCTATATATATCGCTGCATACGCCCTGGGCCCAAGCGGAAATGCCAGACAGCCAACGCTCATGAGAATAATGCATGCTATATATAAATAATATAAACAATATATTGTATATTGTATATCCCACATTTGTTGCTCTATATTATTTATGCATAATTAAGTGCAATTTGTGTTATTCACATGCATTTAGCTAAGCATCTATGAATAACTAGCCAAAATACCACAGTCTGTCTTGAGTGTAATGCATTTAAATTCATTCGTATATATGCGTTTATATTCGTATCTATATAGTCTATAAGAAGTATAAACGATGCAGATGGCACCGATGGGACTTTGGCTTTAAAACTGCAGAAGTAGAGTGATCTAACTGGTGAATCGACTAACTATAGATGAGTTATGTTATGATAGAACTGCAAAACTATCGTAATTTAGTTGCATATTTATTTATTTACAATTAGTCGAACCCCAACAATCAAATGCATCATCTTATATGTATTTGTAGATCAGATTTAGAGTAAACTGGTTACCAATCAGCTGAGCAACACTTGTTTTTTTTTCCCTACCTTACAGACAAACAGACAGCAGACATTGCGTTAATATCATACACCCCTTTTCAGTTAATGAACGCGCATTAAAGCCAACAATAATTGGGGGATATAGTCATAACAGCCGCCCACTTTACTCATGGATGCTGTTGTTGCTTTTTGTTTTCCCATTTCTAGACTTCGAGTGAGCACAAACACTCGGCTCAGATGTCAAAACATTGAATTGTTCAGAGCTGTTAAGTTGTCAAAATGATGTCCGATACATGAGCAAACAGCAGCCAAGTAAAAAGCGCGGCTTTGTTCCGTGCCGTCGCATGAAACGGGCAACAACAATTACAAGTGCAGGTACAGGTACACATACATACACATACATATATAAATATGCTGTAAGTGCTTCCATATAATCGTATTAATGGGCTCGTGTGGGCAGCGTTGGATTGTCAAAAAGGTTAAGCAAAACACCTTGGAAAAGCTCTTATTGACCAACCAGTTGGTTAACTGCTGCCAGACACTGTGCCCAGCCGAGCGTAAGCCCAATAATAATGAGAATAAGAACTGAAAAGAAATTATTGTTCTTCGTGGGTTTGAACTGAGAAAATGTTTATATTCAAGCACTCTCATCATTTTAGGGCTTTCTTGTCGTATGGTTGTCTGACGATAAACTGATGTTGACCAACTGCATATCAAATCTTAAGTGGCAATAAGACTTAGGAACTGCTTTTCAAGTTTTCATAAGACTTGGGAACTGCTTTTCAAGTCTTCGCTAAATATTTTATAAGATTAATTGATTCAGATCTATTTGAAGTAAATTTAATGTCGGAGTAAAAATGTGATATCGTCTCGTTGAGATATAAACGTAAGACAGAAAGATCGAAGCATAAATCTAGGAACTTATTTTATAAACTATTACTAAATATAAACAATAGTCAAAGAACGACAATTAGCTTTTTTTATCTTGAATCAATTTAAATATCTGATAAATATAAGTACTATAGAATTTAGACCTATTTCATTTTTTTTTAATTCCTCTTTTATCTCACATAGTTTTTAATTTGTAATTTTTATGTTTCTAAAGTAGAAATATTTGCTCTTTCGCACAATTCCGATTACAGTTTCCAGATCTTTCAAGTGAAATATCATTTTTCATTTAATTACCTTTCTCTAAGAATATGCGTATCACAGATCGGTTCAGTTTCACACGATATCTTAAGTTTTACGGCCAATTCATTTAGTTTATCACAGTTTTCAACACAAAATACGATTTTAATATTTTTCACCAGTTACATAATGTTTGAATTTAATTTTGGAAATGTTCCTTGGGCAGTTAGAGAGGTTATCAGGTGTAGTAGAAGCAGCAGGTCCTAGTGTCCTGTTGCAAGTGCAGTACAGAAACTAATGAAAATATAAACCAGATATCTCACTATTTATAGCCAAATCTTGGGCAATCAGGCAAAGGGCTGGCTGGCCAATAGGAGACACAAATCGGTTTAGGGATAGCTACGGAAACGGATATTGGTTGACCAATAGAAATCGTACAAATGTGTTCACAAGTGACAGACAAACAGGGGAAATATATGCTGAGGGTACTAGAGCTATGGATTGCCGATGCTAGGCAACGGGACACTAATTGTCCCTGACTTCTGGCCACAACAGACAAAAGTGGAGAAAACCCAGAAGTTAGACGAGCTATACCAACAGATACTGTTCCAACTACACAAATGTGAGAGAGATACCAATATATACGTTGGTATATATATGTACGGGTCAAAAGTGCATTTTCCATATCCTTGATTGATAGATCTACACACATGTGGGTCGCTTTACATAAGAATGATATATGGTATATATATTCACATATACCACACACACATATATATACATATTTGACATATGGACAAATTATATATAAAAGCTTATATAGTAATTGGCTTTGGGGCAACTAATGAAACCCAAGTTCCCTCAATATATGGACCTAATAACTGAACTATAAAAGCTGGGGCCGTAGTTGGGCCAGGTTTTGGGGGTTGGGTCTGCGACGCCTGCAGCTTTATGAATATTAGATAAACGACTTTACTACATATATTATATTATACGGTATATGCGACGACTTCAGCTGATGTTTTCACATTATGCATTTTTAAATGCGTTCCATCCAAGACAGCAAAAAGCGTTTAAAAAATTAATAGAGGGACATAGGGAAATAGGGGGAGGGCCAAGAGGCGGGGTCTTCGCTAAATGCCTGTGAAATGCAACAAATTGCGGGCAAATATTATTAGAAAAAGGAGAATAACGTGGACAGGTGCAGCAAGGCCGTCATTATAACTAACTGAACTGTCATTATAATGAAGGTATAGTTCAGATGCACTGAGAGAAATTATAAATGAATGTATATGCAAATATTTTCGGACTTAAGATCTTAAGATAGATGAAAAACAGTGAGATAATTCAATTCATTTAACATTATTGAAGAGGTATATGCAAATGTAAATGGATAATATAATTGGCATAATTAATAATTGAGATAAAATATTAAGAAAATATTATTAGAGGTTTTTACGTTTATTCTGCCGTTACAGGAAGTTGTAATACTTAGCAGTTCTGCGAGAAAATTGAGGTCGAAACTATTCAGTCTCAAATCGATATACCTAAAGCAATCTATCTCAATAAGTACCCATGTTTAGGTTTTGGATCTACTCATCTTTGTATTAATTCGATAGCCTCGCCACACTCACACACGCAAAGTTTTAAATTCTGAATTATTAAATTTGTATAACACAAGATAAACCGCATTCATTTCATTAGTACAGTTAACTACAAATTTTCTTCCGGTGCAAATCGGAAAATAGAAAATGCAGCCTAAAGACACAAAACTTCTATATTATTCATGTAATTGGAGCAATTTGCTGCGAACAATTCTTCGATATTGACTTGAGGAGCTGCTCGATGCATTTGCAACAGGAACAAAATTGAACTACAACAACAACAATAGCAACGAAAAAGAGGACATTTTCCATTTTCCAGAAGGAAAAGGCGGACGCATTTTTAATTAAAATGCTGAGAGTTTGAACAGCCGTTGGCCTCAATTGCTTCAAAAGCAACTAATAATAGGTTAATTGCGTTGTCAGTAAAGCCACAGAGCTAGAGGGAGACAGGGAGAGCGAGCCACAGAGGGAGGCCAGGGAGGGTACATAAATAGGGGATGCGTGTGCTTGAAGGACACTTTGTAGCGGTTGCTTTGGCTAGTCTGAAGATGAGTCAAGTGGCCATTGATTAAAGCAACCGCAGAAGCTTAATCAAATATTTACAG